ATACATAATAGTGACTGAGGTGAGTTATAAATTGATGATAATGGATGATGACGATGATGATGATGATGATAGTCCCTGCAGTTGTTTTACATCTCTGTTTTCTCTGCACTATTCCTTAATCTTTATGAATGAAAAATGATCAGTTTGTAGTAAATGTCCTTTAAACATTTCTCTTCATTTAGGTCAAATGTGGACAATGTCAAGATACTGGCTATTTTTACAGGTCAAAATCATGTCAGGACTGAATCTTAGCTCTTAAAACCAGTTTGGTACCGTAATCCTTTTTTAATGAGTAGAACTTCAATCACACACTTTTAGTAATAGTGTTTGTCGCATAATTATGTTTGTGGCTTTCCTTGCTCTGCTTTGACTACTGCTAACTAGACAAGCTTTCTATATATTTCTTAAAATTTAGCAACAAAGCTTTAATTAAAAATTCCTCTTAACAACATATGAAAACACATGATATTTGCTAAGCAAAGACCAGATAGACAGCCATGTTTATTCACTAAGGGACTGTATATTTGTATACACTCCCCTTTATTTTAGTTTAAAATCCAGTTCTATTTATAACTCTATGTTCCACTTTAACTTTACTTCAGTTCTGAAGCTGTATGCCTGACCTTCTCTTGATATTTACACAAAGTGAATCTAAGATTGTAATAACAGTCAGTTCTTCTTCAGGTTTGACTTCTCAGCCTAAGACAGCAGACAGCTAAAATGGCATTGAGAGGCTCAGATAATTATACTGTTTCTGTATACCAGTTTTCCCATATTGGTGTTTTTGAAGTATATTCAAACAGGGTTAGACAACATAATACCCAATAGGCTGTGTGACATTAGATAGATATAGAAGGAGAAAGAAGTGGGGAGGAGGAGATGGTGGAGGAAGGCCTGTTCACATCCTGCAAATGAGAGGAGGGGGGTTTCAGCTACAGTAACCACAATACAAAGCAATAAAACTCCATACATGAAAGCATGATGCAATATAATAACTGTATGTCTTTGCTATGAGAGTGTAGTAGAAAGTGTATATATCATTCAGAGTGACTGGCTGTCTGGTTAAGAGAGATTAGGACCAATTCTAAGCCTATTTATCACACCTTTTCTTAAAACTGAACCCTAATTATGCACATTAATTCTTCATTAGGTCGTTAGACCTCTGTATTTTCCATACAGATAGAGCTAAGCTATCTCCAATTCCAAAAGCACAATTCTCTGAGTCTTATGGGATGGTCCCTCTCCTGCTGTTGCAAACCGCAGTTAAGGTATGTTTTTCCAATGGTCCTTTGGAAACAGGTATAACAGGCGAAGAATTACTGTAGAAATTACAGTAAGTCATTTGGGGGCCATATATGTTTCCTTGTGTGTATGTTTGCCAAGATATTTTGTGTATGTTGTTGTTTATTATAAGCTATCTAAAATTGTAGGATGAGATCTCATATTTAAATATATATCAGATCTTAATGGATGTAATTGCTCAACTTATTCAGAGCAGGCTTCCATATTAGTGCAGAGCTGAAAAGAAGGTTAATTTTAGTTTTAGAAACCAAACCGGGCTTTCTCACGCCAGAAGCAGAAACCTTTCCTGAAAACTGCATTTCTCACTTAATTTTGCTGCTTTCAGTTCCCCTCTGTCCTCTGATTTTTTTTTTTTTTTTTGCAAGCCTGTCTTCCTCTTGGCCATTCCTTTCTCTTGGCAGTTCTTGGTTTGATGATGTTATCACAGTTCTATTTAGAGCAGGGGTGGGCAACTATGGCCCCTGAGCATGACTGGCTCAGGAATTCTGGGAGTTGAAGTCCATGGGTCATAAAGGGGCCCTAGTTGCCCATCCCCAATTTAGAGAAACAATAAATACCATATTCTCCAAAGACAAGGATTTAGCTCTGCAGGTGATATATAATGAACTTTTACAAATGCTATGCTGTTAAATATTAAAATATGAGCATTAAATGGACATGCTGGAGGAATTTCTCCTGCAGGATCCACAATGCTAATGAAGACTAATTGTTTTTATTTGGCATTCTTAATCTGCTTAGGTAAAACTCTGAGTTGCTCTCTGGCATCCATTCAAATTCACCAGGCAAAAGGCAAAGCTATTTCTATGCAAGCTTTTGAATATGACTGTTTATCAGATATTATGGTTGTGCTGAACATAGGCATAGGCTAAACTAATTATACGGAGAAATGGGAAGTGTGATATTATTTTAGGTGTCAAGGAATGGTTGTTGGAAATGTGTGATTTATCTGTTTTGAAATAGACAGTATAAAAGATAAAAGAATGCAACAATATGTGTTAGTATGGTAGACATTTGGGATATTGTATAATAATATCATATTGTATTATAATTGAATTTGTTAATAAGTCAGTGACTGTTGACCATACAATAGATTTTTTTTCTTCTTTTTTTTCTTAGTTTGTATTTTTCAAATTTTTATTTTTTTTCTTTAAGATTAAAGATTGTCTTTAATCTAACCATAAACTCACTAAATAAATAAATAAATTAAAAATCTATTTCTACTCAATAGAAATGAGAATGACATTTTAATATATGTGTATGTGTATGTATTATATATATATACAAAAATAACCAAACACACAAACATCCCCCACACACACACAAGTATGAAATGATGCTAAACTTCATGTTATGAAATAAACATGCAGTCCTATAATTACATGAGAGTGAGTGTCAAATGGGATATTGTAAATAGATATAAATAGAGTAACACATTTACCTTAAAAGTAAATTTGTCAACTGATTGGTGAATTTTAGCTGATTAATAATTAAGTTTATAATTTATTTACTAATTCCTTATCTTTGCTTATTGCTAAAACTCCAATAATTTTCAGGAAAGATGAAAGAACTACTTCATTATTTAAAAAACAAAAGTTATTCAACTACTGGAAAAGAAAGGCATATTTAATATTTTCCTTCTCATTACTTTGGTTTCTTGACTTGCATCTAGTCAAGTTGTAAACTCAAGCAGCAGAGACCAAGGGATGAAGTCTTTGAGATCAAGGGGAAAATTGCCTCCACTCTGGAGTTATAAAATGGACAATGTTTAAACTGTTTGGTCATAGAAATAAATGGAATGCCATCTTCATGCTTGGTCTAGAAGTGTGTATAAGTACAAGCACATATACTACCATCACGGTGAGAAGGGACTCACCTCCTCAGTAGAATATCTTAATGACCACTCAAACTGGTCACTGACCATTCATGGCCAGAAAAAGTGTATAAGAGGGCTTGTGTTTCTGCATCCCTAATTCTGATCCATTTGAACTTTTGACTTGTTTCTGGATGTCGCTTCCTGCTTTGCCTTTTGTTTTCAACTTCTGCTTTGCTTTTGGCTCACCTCGGATGGTTGTCTGTTGTGCAGCCTTGAGGGGCAGGAACTGAGGCCAGATTTTTCTAATGCTCAGTGGTCTAGTACAATTTTAAGAATGTCCTTTATCATTTTTGGAAGGTCTTGCCTTAGCACAAATAAATATTTCCCATAGTCTGAAGTTTCACCACTGATGGTCAGCTGGATTTGATATATCTAAGGAAAATAATGCCTCTGAGTTCCTTCATACAACCAATGAGGTCTGTGCAGCCAGCAGAGTTCAAAGAATAGCACAAACAGATGCATTCCTTGATAGATGCATGCCTTGAATTCAGAAATGATGGCCTACATTTTGCTCTAGTAACAGTATGAAACATAACATCTAAGACATTGCATTGCACAAGGCTTTCAGAAAACAAACAGGAAGGGATATTAATTCAAAGAATATTAATAGCGTCTATTTTTCCACCATTTATGTACTCCAAATGTTATTGAATTCTGTTAACAAAACAGAATAACTTTGTAGAACTTTTTATCAAACCTAATTAGACTAATTAAAGGAAAGTCACACTGTTTGATCAGGCTTATTTTGAAAAAGCAATGACAAAATCTTGTGGCCCCAGGAAAAGAACATATTACATATAACATCTTTCATTTCATCATGATACTTGCCATCTTTTTTCTTTACTTTCTATTAATTTTTTTATATTTTTTGTTGCTTGTTCTGAGACACCCAGAATAGTAGTAGTAGTAGTTTTTAAGCTGGAATACCGTGGTGTCAGTTTTGTTGCATCAAAACAACACGATTATCCCTCTAAAGATTTATTTTATTTATTTATTGAAGTAAAGCCCTCTCTTCATTAAAATAATCCTATAGAGCAGGATGTCAAACTCGTGTCATTTTGGTGGAGTCACGTGATGTATTGTGACTTTTTCCCCCTTTTGCTAAACCAGGCATGGGTGTAGCCAGTGCGTGATGTATCCGGCCCACGGGCCATGAGTTTGACAGCCCTGCTATACAGGATTGTTACAATTGAGTTCCTGGAAATTGGGTAGAAGATAGTCTTTGCCTACAATCTCTTTCTATTTTCATTTTAAGTCTTTGATTTAAAAAAAAAGTTGGTTTACACATCAAACTAAGCTGTATTTTGTTTATCTTTTACTTGGGACATTGTGAATTATAGACCATGGTTGTGCCTTAATCATGTATTAACTAATTGTGGATAACTAATACATCTTGCTTAGCCCAACATGCGAACTGAGACTTCAACCCTATCCAATTTTTATATCCAATTGCATTAAAAGTCTTATCTAAAAAGCAGACACTTAAATATTTTTTAAAAGTTCAAAAGTTCCAATACAAAATTTCTAATTTTCTAGGTACTTTGCCCCTATGATGAAAAATGGTGAGTAATACCTGTTGTTATAGAATTTACAGTTTGTTAATTCAGATGTAGAGATCTGTCCTACATCTTCTCCAGTGAACTAAGACAGCACTTTTCCACTCTTTAAAACCTTTCAGCCAATTTTTAATCCTCCCATTATCCCTGACCTCTTTGTTCTCATTGATGGAACTTGGAGTCTTAAAAATACCATAAGAGAAACAATCTTAGAGAAAGCCAGGGCTATAAATGAAGTAGATGTGCTAAAGAGAATCACAGGCAATTTTTCCTCCTTTCACCATCAGCAGAATGGCCATATATGGTCTACTTGTCCAGGACAGCAAATAAATGGTGATATAATAAAAGGGCTGGCTTTGTGTCATTTAGTGAAAGGAAGTTGGGCAAAGTGAAGTTCTACAAATTATAATGCTACAGAAAGAAGCCTAAAGGGAAGGAACAAGTCATTTTGTTTCAAACTTCAGACAGGAAATTTGATATGCAGAACAACTTACATTTTGGCTTGTAAATGTTGATCATGGGGTGATCCAGAAATAAACTCCAGACTTCAAAGCAGGAGAAAGTTCAAAGCTGCTCTGCATTTTATCAACACAGAGAGACAGGAGAGCAATGCATCCAAAAGGGAATATTCTGATTTAATAGTCCATGAAAAAATACTTCTGCAGTAAACAACTTTCTACAAATTACAAGGTAATCATGCATGGTTTAAGTGTATTATTTTGGTCCAGGATTAATCTTGCATGTAATATGCATAATTTTTCTTCTCTCCAAATGCTGAATTGTAATGAATTGGCTATAAGAAAGAATTTACACATGCAGTAGCAGGACAAATGTCATACTTTTAAAATATATGTTATTTTGAATTTAAATTACTTTCTACAAGGTACATATCTATATGCATTTCTCTAGGAACTACTTCTGAAATATACTATGGGAATATGAAAGTCTTCCAGTTACTAAATCCATTTTGCAGACAAGAGGAAAAGTCATTTGAAGTTACAATTTATTTTATTCAGATAGTTTTAGCTCTTTATATCAGTGGTGTGGATGAATGGATGCAGTGATAAGCAGTAAAATAGAGTAAAATACTTGTTGCACCAAGTGATGTGCCAACTTTACTTAATAAACAGCTGTTTAGGCAGCTGACGATGGATGGGATTTATTTGCTCAGAAATGTTTCATCATCAGGAACTGCCCTGCTTTGTGCTGAACCAGCTTGTAAATATATTTGGCAGTTCTCAATCTACAAGTTATTCAGTTCATCTAAAGATATTGGATTGAGAAATCTGCAAAGTAATGTCTGTGTTTGGAAATCAAATGCTTGGAAAATTATGGCTCATGCAGTGGGCAGTCTTAGACAATAAACAACAGCTTGCACACTAGCCTGATTCATATAGTACACTAAATCGAATTGTGGTTTATTTGGTTTGATTTAGTATATGTAAGCCCAAACATTGTGTAAGCCCAAACATTTGCTTTGCTGTGTTTTTATGTATTATGAAAAACCCACCCAATTATAATTTAGATTGAAGCAGTGTATGGCTTTATGCAATGTATAAAGCAAAGCTATAACAGCAACAACAATAAGCTGGCTCAGGAAGAATGTAAGAAAAGAGAGGAAAATAGAATTGAGGGCCAATTTTATTATGCTGATTTTAAAGCAATAAAATAAATTACATCTAAGTAAAGAAATGAGTGAGATAGGAATGCACAAATCTTGTGTTTATAGAATAATCTCCAATCCTTGTCCCTTGTCCAATTTGTAAAAAAGCAATGCATTTCATTCTGGTGTACCTGCAGGCACAGTGAAATAAACACATAGTAGTAGCTCTTTGGGTCCATTACAGTTCCCACAACATAAAGAAATTGCTCAATGTATATCAAAGTGGAATCCTATATTCAGGTAAGGAGGAGAGGCTCCTTTGTTATTAAAGAGAGATGTGACTATTTCATAGAAAACAGGATTGCAAGTTAAGCTTTTGCAGAAAAAGAGAAAAGGGAAAGGATATTAAATGCATGGGATGATGGCCTCTAACAATTCCCAGCATGCTGGCTGGAAAATTCTAGGTGTTGAAGTCCACACATCTTAAAGTAGCCAAGATTAAGAGGCACTGATCTAACCAGCTAAATGAATAGGAGGACTGGCTTACCACATTTTAAAGTAGACTAATGTCTACTTATTATCTAAGGAAGGAGCTTCCTGTAAAACAATTAAATCCAAAAGCTAAAACTACCTAACCACATTTCTGTCAAGGACAATATTTAATGCAAGCTTTGTTTTTGCTTTCATTATGTTTGCTATTACATGTAGGAATATGAAAAGCAAGACAAATTGCACGACATTCATTTTTTTACATTACAGAGTATTATCACTATGAATTCTATGTAATTAACAGTCTAAGCATAGGGATTAACTAGGTTCACAGTGTATATTCATAGCAATGAAAGGCCATCGAATCCATAGCACCAAGGGCTATGATCTCATATCTCATGAGTCGCAGTGGTGCAGTGGTTAGAGTGCAGTACTGCAGGCTACTTCTACTGACTGCTGGCTGCCTGCAATTTGGCAGTTCAAATCTCACCAGGCTCAAAGTTGACTCAGTCTTCCATCCTTGCCAGATGGGTAAAATGAGGACTCAAAATTGTTTGGGGAAATATGCTGACTCTGTAAACCACTTAGAGATGGCTGTAAAGCACTGTGAAGCGGTATATAAGTGCTATTGCTATATGTTAAAGTCAATCTACAATTTGTCAAAATCCTTGATTTGACAGAATAAAAGAGTCTGAACATATGGATAATCTAGGTTTATATAGTAGTAGTATATATTCATAACAATGATTAGGCCTTTGAATCAAGAGTGTCAAGGGCCCTGATCTCAAAGTCAATCCAGACTTCGTCAAAACCCTGGCTTCATATGAATAAAACTATTTAAGAGCCAGGAGACCACATTTCTGTTATCTTTTCAAATCAAATCAAATAAACAATTGCTAATTAATATTTTCTTATGGATATCAGAAAGTCTTAGAAAAATTTAGTGAAGCAACCTGAAAATGAGGAGACTTTCTGAGTTCTGGAAAGGGTAACAGCACTCAGTCAAAAATAAGGCAAAATTACACAACTGATTTTTTTCCCCTGCAACAGCAGAAATTCTACAGAGAATGAGATTTCAAAGGGACCAGACAAATGTGGCAAACAATGCATCATTCATACTTTAGGTGATTCCTGTTTGAAACTTGTATATAGGGCAAATACATGAAAACAGTCAACCCAATGATACACATTAGCTAATGGCAAGAAATTGTCAAAATTACAATTTAATAAAACTTCTGGAGAACCCCAGATTGCTTACCTCTATTTCACAGTAACAATTTCTTGTTTTACTGAAATTACACAGTAAGTAATTTCATTCTTAACCTAAAAGGAAAACAAGGGACAGGTCATTTACATAAATCTGGTAATATTTGAAGGCGCTTGTCTTATCAGGGGTATACAACCCAAGGCTCCTGAAAACATTGGCTATGGCCAGAGATGGGTTTCAGCAGGTTCTGACCAGTTCTGGAGAACTGGCAGCGGAAATTTTGAGTAGTTCAGAGAACCGGTAGTAAAAATTCTGATTGGCCCTACCACCATCTATTCTCTGCCTCCCGAGTCCCAGCTGATCTGGAAGAAATGGGGATTTTGCAGTAACCTTCCCCTGGATTGGGGAGGGAATGGAGATTTTACAGTATCCTTCCCCTGCCACGCCCATCATGCCACGCCCACAGAACCAGTAGTAAAAAAATTTGAAACCCATCACTGGCTATGGCCCAGAATCCTTTAAAACATTGCCACTAAGGTATATTTTAATGAACTGCTGTACCTACAGTACTTGTGGAATATGTTTCCTGGAACAAAAACATTGTACACATTGAACTGCAGCATCTCAGTTAATCGCCCACACTGTTGAAATATAGGATAGATTCCCAGCAGGTTGCCAGATACCACAGCCAATTGCCTTCTTTCAAGGTTTTATGTCTGTTATGAAATAGAAAGTGCTATAAAGTAGTGTTTTGGTCCAATCGAGCCCCCCAAAGAAGGAAATAAGATAGAACTTTTGATTTGTAGTTAAACTCCAAGTATGTGTTTATTTCCAGTGTTTTAATACTGCTTTTGATTTTAAAAAGAGAAAATGGTTTATCACAGATACAGTAGTTTAGGATCCTAATCTTATGGGGAGCTGTAAAGTTACAAAGTTCCATGAAAAAAAAATGCTTCCACTAAAATCTTTGATTTCACAATCACAGAATATTTGCCACTGGATATTATTAGAACTTTACATGGATCGTACTGATAAGTAAATTGAGTATGGGAAAGCAAATAACTCCAGAGTTGAAACTTGCTCCTTTTATTTTTTTCAAAAAATGTTATTTTTCATGCAATGGGTTAATGTAAAAAAAAATCAGTTGACCTTTTAGTTCACATCAATTATAATAATCCAGGAAATCACAGGGGACCTCAGAATTACGTATAGTGATCTGGCGGTTTCCTCTACCTTAGCTAAAGCCAGTATTCATAGCACCACCAGCACAAAAGCACTGGATAAAAATCAGATTCATGGGGAAATGGAAAAGTGGAATCCCTTGCTCACTAAGGAGATCTTCTTTGTCTCAGATTTGGCAAAGAGCACTTGGATGACTGATCAGACTTCTGAAAAAATGCTCTAAGAATAGATGAGTTAAAAATTGTACTTTGGGGGCTATGTGAGTGATGTTATATGTGGTAGAAACCAAATATTTACCACATTCCACAATTAGAACTTCATACTAACTGTGAAATTCTGAGGTTGTAATATCATTGTTGTCCTGAAGGCAGGACAAGAAGCAATGAATGGAAACTAATCAAGGAAAGAACTGACGTAGAACTAAGGACTAGAAGACCTCCAAGGTATTATTCTGTTATTCTTTATTCTGTGATATTTTGCTGTCTCAAGACAGCAAAATATGATGAAGTCATCACCATCTTCAATGATGGTGATGACTTCACCATTATTGAAGAAAGCATGGATTTTGCTTTGTATCAAAGAATTCTACAGAACAGTGTCAGCCCATTTCTGTTAGTTGAAGCTAAAGTATTAAGTGGGCCAAGCAGCAAGTCAATATACAAGCAAATCTACAAGAGAATAGAGGAAGAAGAAAGAATTCCAGATTTTTGAAGGACCTTATCAAAATTCAAGTCTAAACCCCATAGACATATTTGGCCAAAGCATAAACAAGCAGTTAATGAGTTGATGGAGCATAACACAAAGGGATGAGCCAAAAATCTAACATAGTGATATGACAGAACAATAACCAATTGCAGCTTCCATTATCCTTTTTTACCACCAAAATCAGCTGTTGAATGCTGGGAATTTTAGTTCAGTGGCATCTAGGGGCTATGCTACTCCTCTGAAGTTTAGTTTTTATTACCGATTCAGCTTTGTCTCCAAGTCATATTGTTTGGATTGGAATACATTTAAAGCCACTATGCTGTTTAATGCGCAACTTTTCCAGGGTATCCAGATAATAGTTTTATTGCTGTTACAAAACAGCAAGCAACACTGTACCTACTAAAAGGGAAGTTTTGCTTTGCAATGCTTTTCACACAGTGACCTGCTGCAAGCTGTTTATTTTGTTTTAAGTGTCATATGAAATACTTGGCAAATGCCAGTTGCAACCTGACCCAAGCAGAATATTTTTAAAAACGATACAACCCTAGAGACGATGAGTGGGAAGGAAAGAGGGAAAGTTGATTTGTGATAGCACTAATAAGAGGCCCCTTCTGATTCTGTAGAAAACATACAATCCTCTGAAAATATCAACTAATGAGAATAATCTTTTAGATATATTTTTTTAACTCTGCCAATTTTTTAATACTTATTTCTTCATCAAAGTGCATTTTTCTAGGTTTACAGTAGTTGTTTTTCCTCTCTATTTTCCTCTCCTTGGGAAGAAAACTTGTGTGATGGCATCCTTCAAGAAGTTTCCTTTCAGGTCCCCAGAACCTTTTCAACATTTTAGAGAAACAGCCATCTAATTTACAAAGTTTATAATAAAATGTTTATGGTGGTAAAATTGACCATATGCCTTGTCCCCTTCTCATAAAAAGCAGGAGGGAATTACTATTTATTTAAAATGGAGTGAATGGCGAAAGCAGATAAATCCCTTCCCTGATTTATTTTTTGGATACTGAAACTGGGATGGTAATGCAGAAAATAATGCAATGCATCAGAGGCCCGTGTAAGGGAGATGGGGATTATTCTTCCTAGTAATACACACAAACACTCTGAATAGGAAAACTGTCTCTGCGTTGTATGTAACTGGGACAATGAGTGCATAAAATACATATGGCTATCATGTTGCTTCTAATTTGGTACCTTTTCCTTTAACCCTGATGATTTATTTATTTAACAAATTTATCTTTGATGGATGCCCATCTTTCAAAATACTATCCACCAGTCTGAGGAATTTCAGAAAACCATATCAGCATAATATTTGCTACTTCCATTGTCAATCTTTGTCTTGCTTCTGCAGCCACTACTGGCATCTTCATATACATTGTTCAGAGAAATTTGAGGTAGATCCTTCTGATTTTATTTTGCTTTTCTTCCCTCAAATGCTACCAGCTGAAAAACTTCCACCAGCCACTTCCATAATGTGAAATGGGGGGAGGGCTGGTCGCAAGACAGGTTCTGATACTTAGCTAGACTAGCAAAATGTGTTCCTAGTTTGTATGGATAAAAAAATATATAAATCCAAACCCACCCTGGCTAACAGCTGGCTGAAAACAGAGTGGCTATGCCACTCTGAATTGGAATGATGACGCAAGACAGCTAAACCCACATTCAAAATAAACTCATGTAACAGTTGACTGGTGTAGTACCAGTCACCTTGGCCTGACTATCCCTTCACTTGCCCCTTTTCCCTGGGCAAGTGAAGGGGTAGCTGCCAGTGTTGAGAAAGGAGGCAGTTGAAGAAAGGGAACCAGCTTCTATTGTCTGGGCTTCAAACCTATGGAAACCTGGGAGCTTTCAAGATCTGGCTTTCCTCCTTTACCTTCCACTTCTTCCAGCATGAGAATCAGTTGCCTGAGTTGGGGGAGAAGGCAAGTAAATGGGGAGAGTCAGTTTTTAATTCAGAGATCTGCTGACTCATGAGTTCGGAGTGGTATCGGTTAAGAAGAACCTGGTTTGAAAACACCTGGATTTCCCTTTGCCCAAACCAGAAATGTCCTGAAGGACAATGTTGCGGTATCAGAAGTAGGGAGAATGGTATGCATATCTGATTATACCCACAATAAAATTGCCATGGGAGGAAAACATTGCTTTAGCACTGGAACAGTTAAGGACAATTCAGAAGTGTACCAGATATAGGCTGGGGATGAAGGTAACCTCCTGGGAAGTCATAGATAAATGAGGTTTCCAGGACGTAGTTGTCCTGGGGTTAAATGCAAATGGGGAAAGCCCTCAGTCAAGAATGAACTTGCTCTAAATCTCAAAAGCTAATTTCTTCTTTATCAAGAACATATTGATCAGGCCCCCAAATCCAAGAAAGAGATATAGTGATTCTTCCAAGCAGATTTCTTTATTATTCCATAGCCAGAATCTTACCAAATTAAAGTACTCTATTTACACAAGCCTATACTCTAAGAACTGTCAGTGAGTGTATTGTGAGCCACCCTGGGTCTTTGGAGAGGGGCGGCATATAAATTGAATGAATGAATGAATGAATGAATGAACAAATAAATAAATAAATAAATAAATAAATAAATAAATAAATAAATAAATAAATAAGGGAGGGGCTGTCTTCATCCTCTTTGTCTAACACACTGATCTGTCTCTTACTCCTCTGGAAAGTACCCTCTCCCTTCTGGGAATCCAGACCAATACAATCAATAGGCACAGTCATTATGAATAGAAGGACAACCTATTTGATTTAAGACTGAGTACCTATCCAGCATTCCTATCACCCATCTCCTCCCACTTATGACTGTATGACTGTAACCTTGTTGCTGGTATCTTTAAGATTCATATTGACTGTTTCCTAATATGATTTGATTACTTGTTTGTTCCCTATGACTATCATTAAGTGTTGTACCTTATGATTCTTGATGAACGTATCTTTTCTTTCATGTACACTGAGAGCATATGCACCAAGACAAATTCCTTATGTGTTCAATCACATTTGGCCAATAAAGAATTCAATCCAATTCAATTTAATTCTATTCTGTTCTGTTCTGTTCTATTGTTTTTAGTTGTTGTCAGCCAGAACATATGCATGAAAGAAAAAGAAACTGTTCTGAATACATTGTTTCCATTAAGTATACTTCCATATTCCCCCAAGACATACTGGGGTACTTCTGTACTAGAAATGTAGAGTAGAATTGGCACTTACTATATGAGTCATCTATGCAACACTGTCATCTATTTGGTCTCACCCAATGATTTCCCTCTACACTCGTTCTGTTTTTCCTCAGCTTCAGTTCAGGCATTCAAAACACAAGAGCTTGAGAGTGCAAAAAGATCTGCCAAAGAAAGATACCATTTGAGTGATGTCAGTGGGGGTTAACGTTTTACAGGAACCATCACATGAACTGAATGCCTGAACAACAAGTTGGGCAATAACAAACCTGACATATGAAGGCGCTGGGAGAAAAAACTAAATAATAGTCCAACTTTGCAAATATATTTATTCCTGTTACTTTTTAATTATTCCAAGAAATGTTTTGACAAAAGTAGGTATCACAAATTGGACTCGGTCGTTTAATGCATTTTTATGGTCAAATATAGAGTTGAAACAGGGTTTCCCTAAATATAATCAAACATTCTATCTATTAGATCAGACTAATGAAACGCTTTGAGGTTAGTCATGTGATTATCCCAATAACACTCTGCTTTAGACTTGAAATTAGAGGCAGTAATATACAGTATATTGCATTGAGCTGGAAGAAAAATAGAATATAAATCAAATGAATAAGAAAATTATCAACAGTAGTAACAATAAAAAACATGAAGCAATCAGACAATCATTTTAACTACTTTATAAGTGGTATAAGTTTAATTTAAGAATTAAAAGAATAAAAGAGGAAAATATATTTATTTCAAAGAAGATGACTATGAATTTAAGATGATCCATGAAGAGCATATAGAAAAATCCCGTGTCACTTGTTTTTTAAATGATATGTCAAGAAACCATTTCCACAAGTAAAAACGTTTGGTCACGATGAAAGATGGGAAGACGATTGAAATTAAATGCATTTAAATTACATTAATTTGTCTTTAAACTAATTAAATATAATTTCTATGATGAGATAAAGTTTTAAATCACGTAATAACTTCTCCCCTTCTTTATGTCAAAAGTTACCATAATTGTAACTTGTGGGGGTCACAGCTGATGTTCTCCCCGAGATGCCCATATAAGTTTTAGGTTCAAAATCAGGCGTGAAGCCAGCCTTCATCTGTTATCGCATTTTCAGTGTCTGGAAACTGGGGAGTGAAGTATTACTTGAGTGACAGCAGAGTCCATGTGATCTACCCATGATAAGGTATGTGACCTGTATTTATATGCATTCCAGGGTTATTTTTAACCATCCCTTCTGACTTACAAGAAAGTGGAAAATGACAACGCAAGTGACCGTAGCAAGAGCAGGTACAATTGGACATGAGGAATACAGCCTGTACAGCAGCATGAGTGAGGAGGAACTTATTGCGATGGCCATTGAGCAGAGCTTGACAGAGGACCCTGCTGAGCAAATAGCTGCACAGAAGACAGTTACCGCTGCACCACCTCCCCGTGAACCCTACTGTCAGAACTTCTACCTTTATCCTTGGGAAAGGTAAGCATGCCAAGGAGAAGGCTCAAATGAGAGAGAACTCAGACCAGACTTCTGCACACGTCTACACCTCAATGTTACATCTTTTTCTGATACGGTTTTCTTGAATCTTTGTGGAACTTCCCCAATAAATATTAAGCAGAATAAAGCGATTGCTTCAGGCAGCAGTTATGGAGGAGATGGCAGCAAGGGGCAGAGGAAAGACTCACGTGCCATGCTCCTTCTAAAGTGGCCATTTTCTGATATGGTGTGGAGGCCACTGGTCCTTTGCCAGCATGACACTTACTCATTCTGCTTTAAGGCATGTCTTCCTGGGCCACCTTTGATTTCAAATATGATATTTTCTCCAGCCAGTTCTGTACAGGTAGTCCTCCGCTTACCACAGTTCATTTAGAGACCGTTCAAAGTTACAATGGCACTGAAAAAAATGACTTACATCTGTTTTTCACACTTTATGACCCTTGTAGCATCCCCATGGTCACGTGAACAAAATACAGACACTTGGCAACTGATTGATATTTATGATGGTTGCAGTATCCCGGGTCATATGATCCCCTTTTGCAACCTTCTGATAAGCAAAGTCAATAGGGAAGCCAGCTTCACTTAACAACCATGTTACTAACTTAACAACTGCAGCGATTCACTTCACAATTGTGGCAAGAAAGGTTGCAAAATGGGGCAAAACCCACTTACAAACGTTTCACCTTGCAGCAGAAATTTTAAGCTCAATTGTTGTGCTAAATTGAGGACTACCTGTACTGACTGGAACATTTTCAGAGATGTTCCAAGGATTTCCAGTATAATGTGTAACTTGGCCATGGGTTAGGTTCCAGAAGACAGCTTAAAAGACATGGCTGTTTCTCATACAAGTATTCTCCCTCACTCCCCTAATTAGAATCTGGGGATTCTTCCATAACCACTCTATCTGAATCTGGATTTCCTTTGTAATAAGAAAAATTAAATTTTTCTTCTCACTCAGGTATGAGGGCTTACAACCTTCCAGATTCTGTTGAATTATAACACCCAATATATCCCCTATTGCAGGGGTGGGTGGGCGAACCGGTAGCAGCGGCGGTAGGAGGCTTCCCCTCCCCCCGCCCAGACGTCATCAAAAACGCTCTGCACATGCGCAGAACCTTCTGCACATGCGCAGAAGCGCCACACGCTTCCAATAGCGAGCCAGTAGAGCCAGGATTTGAATCCCACTACTGCCCTATTGGTCATACTGACTGGAGCACCAATAGGTGTAAATCAGCAGCATATGGTGGGTCACACTTTTATTATCTCTAAAATCTTTACTTGCCAACTTTGTAGTCTTAATTAATCTTAAATCATCCATTTTCAGTATAATTCTTCCATATCTTGTCTTTCCCCCAAACATCATACTATAGATTTCTGGAAATAAAAAAGTATGTTGTTGCATTCAAATACAACTAAAACACAACTTTAAAAAAAACCCTAAGCTATCAGTTTAAATCTAATTCAACAGCAAATGAGTAGTTGATGGAGGAACATCTCCTGACAAACTGTTCTGAAGTTTAGAGAGCAGCTATCAAGAAGTCTTTCATATTCACAGCAAAGATGCTTCTCAAGCTGAGGGACAGAGAGAGAATCTGAATATGCAAAGATAATATAATTTCCCAAATTGCCTGTTCTGAGATATAGTCACATATAGTCACATATGGGCCCAATGCTCCTCATAACTGTCCTGGTCTATAATCTGATCTCTCAGCATTTGGGACCAACTAAGTTTTAAGGACCGATATCATTTAAAATGGTAAACACATGTAAACCTAATTTATGAGCTTCTGTTTCTGGCAGAGAAGGTTATCTCATCTCATCCAAGTTGGATTAGATCAGAGGTGTCAAACTCGCAGGGACACGTCATCACATGACTTACCCCCCTTCGCTAAAGCAGACGTGGGCGGGGCCAACATGTGATGCATCTGGCCCCTGGTCCACTAGTTTGACACCCCTGGATTAGATGAATGCAGGACTATTGATTGTAAAATATGATTCAGCACACCTGAAGCAGTAGGCTAGTTTATAGACTGAGAGCAAAGTGTGTGGCCTAGAGAGTTCTGTCTTTAAATAAAGGGAATTGTTGGGTTTCCCAAGGTGATCCAGAGGTAATATTGACTCCACTCACAAGTTGTTTACTCTGACAGAATTTATATTTGACTCAACTCTAGCAGCCTTTATCCAGCTGTCTTGGATCATCATAACAATCAGGCCAATACAGCACTATTAATCTTTACGTTTTTCTTGTCTGCTTCTCAATAAGAAAATTAGGTTTACGTATCCTGTACTATAGGAAAGGGATATAAATTGTCCCTAATCCCTTGCCCAGAGGGATATTTTTGCAGATGAGAAGACAAACATTCCACACCTGAAGTAAAAACTCTATCATGAGTAAAATAGGTCCACCCCAGACAAAATCTCTACTTTAGTGGTCCTGAAAGGCATATTTTAGAAACTACAATTTGCCATAAAGATACCTGTATTTTTAACCTTATTTTAAAAATATTTATATCCTGTCTTTCTATTTGTACAAGCAATGAAGATAGTCAACAGTAAGGCATCAGACTAGAAACCAGGAGACTGAATTCTATTCCTGCTTTAGGCTGAAAGCTGGCTGGGTGACTTTGAGTGGGTCACACTGTCTCAGCCCAACTCACCTGATGGAGTTGTCATTAGTGGAAAATAGGAGTGGGAAGGTGTATTAGATATGTTTGCTGCCTTCAGTGATTTATAAAAATAATAAATGCAGGATTTAGAAACATGGCAGAAAAAGACCTAGTGGTCCATCGAGTCTGCCCTTTGAGTTTTTGGTTTTCATTTTAATTTAATTATTATTTTTAATTATTACTTTTAGTTTTTATTTTATTTTTTTAAATTTTGTCGGATGATGGACAAGTGTTTATCCCAAGCGTCTTTAAATTCCTTCTGAGAAGTAATACTGTACTTTTGAACTTCTCTCCTGTCAGTTCGAAATTATGCCCCTGTGTTCTTGATTTTTGCTTAATATTAGGATATTAATAAATAAAAACAAACTACAATTAAAATTGTTTAATTAAATTAATTTTTGGCAAAGGTTGCAGTTTGCCACTTTCTAAAATATTAGGAGAACAGAGTCAAACATAATTCCTTGAGGAGTACTTTCCATAGGCTACATCATAAAACAAGTTAAATTAAAACACATGAAGAATAGATTAGTTAAGAAACATATACAGTTAAGTGAGCAGCACCTTAAGGCAGTGATGGAATTCAAATAATTTAACAACCGGTTCTCTGCCCTAATGACTGTCTGGGTGGGTATGGCTGGGTGGGCAAGGGCAGGGGGCATGACAGCACTCAGCCTCCTTCAGCACTCTTGCCAGCCAAAATGGGGTGCGAGGGTTAATTCAAAATGTGGGCTTTGCTTTATGACATCTAGATCCAGTGCAGTGGTAGCGGTGACGATATGACGTCACTGAACCGGTTCTCCCCCCACCCACCCTCCCACCCTCCCCACCCCCCCAAGTTATTCTTACCTTTTATTTGGTCCCACCCCCAATCTATTGCTGCCTCCTGAGTCCCAGCTGATGACTAGAGGGAAAAAAACTGTTTAAACTCTTGCCGCAGGGCTTCAAAGGGCCGTCCAACAGCTGATCAGTGTTAAAAGCAAACAAATGAGTCGGGTTGTAAGTGCGAAGACTGGTCATAAGTGTGAGGACCTTCCAGAAATGACTGACCAGCTAGCCATGCCCACCTAGTCACATGACCTCCAAGCCACACCCACAAAATAAGCCATGCCCTCAGAACCGGTAGTAAAAAAATTTAGAACCCACCCCTGATCCAGTGAGTAAGGATTGTGAACTGCACAGAAAATACACTTTTGTTTAGTTATGAAGAAATATCCCCAAAGTCAGATGTACATAGATGTATTCCAAGGTTTAGACGTCACAACAGAGAAAGCTTCTTTTCCTGTCCCCCACCTCACTTTTTGTGCTGCAGGATGACACCCAAAGGCCAGTTGGGTTACTCAGCCCTAGATAAATTGTATGCCTCCATGCTGAAGGATGTGAAGAAAGAGGGGCAAGAAAGGCTTTAAAAAATGAAGCTGCATCCACTTAATGTGCCGGTGAGCCAGGCATCCTTGGTGTAGATCAATGAGTCCCCCTTCTCTGACTTGCCTAAATTGATGACCTTTCACAATTCAGTTGCATTGATCTTTTGGTTCCCCCTTTAAAAAGGCTTTTAAGAGAAAATGGAAATCTTTGTGTCATAGGGAGAGGCGACAAAATCTTGCGCATCTGTATTGATTGCATTTACCTTTCAAAATATTTTTTCAAAATAATCAATTAAAATACTTGCTAAAGCACGTACGTAAAGATTGCTTCCATGTATGCTTTGGCCCATCATTGGAAACCTCTGATGACCGGAAAAGATGCATCTTCAGGGCAACTTGAAAAGATATTGGAAGCTTATGAAATTTAGGCCCAACCTAGCAATCTCCTCCTGGTCTGGTTTAGTTAGTTGTGTAAAGTTCTCTGACACAGCATTCTTCTTCAAAGCATTAAAGCAACCACATCTTTTGCAAGACACACACAGCTACTTCTAAAGCTTCTCTACATCTCTATCCATGTGCACCCACACCCAGAGGTGGGCGTCACATACTGTAACAACCGGTTTGCCCAGCAACCAGAAATGTGAGCGTGTGCCATCCGCGCATGCGTGCGGCATCAAAAAACACAGCAATTCACTCACATACGCCTTCCGCACATGCGTGCAGCATCAAAAACACAACGATATAGGACGGGATTGCGGGTGGGAGGGTGGGCCCACCTGCAGATCACAACTACAGGTTCGCCTGAACCAGTCTGAACCGGCAGCAGCCCATCTCTGCCCACACCTCATTCTGTCCCTGGCACTGACACAAAATAGTTCTGCTTACGTTCAAGGACTGGATGGTGTTTAAACTGGAAAAGGAGAAGCTGCTTTGGATGTGTAGAAGACAAACCTAATACACGTTCTTTTTTTAAAGAAGCTGCACATTTTCCTGGGATTGTGTGGCTGCCTTCCATACCTGTCAGACGATCTTGGGAAAAGCTGTGTTGGGTTTATAGAGTTTGCAAGCCACTTTATGAGTCTTGGGCCGTGAAGCACTTTCTGTCTTCAGATCTGAAATCCTGCATACACACATGCAGATAGCAGAAGCAACATCCAGAGTGGTTGCACAAGCATTGCCAAAGATGTGGCTGTTTCAGGCTTGAAGAGACAAGTTTTGAAACAGTTCTTTCAGATGTTTTGCACAACCTTGTCACTCAGAACCAACCTTGGAGCGTGCTTCTTTTCATTTCTGAACAACGCTCTCAGGCCTTTCTTCCCCCTGAAGTGAAAATGCCTTCAAGTCCTTTCTCGGCCTGCTGTGTGGTAGTGGGATTAATCTCACTGCAGTCATATATGGTCATTTAAATCCCATGACACTTCCTCTGAGGGCCAAAAATAATCTAGGAGTGAAAGAGCAGCTGAGACCAAGGCCTAAAAAAGCTGAGACCATCTGCTTTTGTTTAAGCCTCAGAAAGTCTACAGGTTCTCTTTGTCTCTCTTCTTCTGTCTCATTTTCTGACTTCTTTACAAGACCAGATATGATTTGCTTTTCTTATTCGGAGTATTTTTCGCTATTTTATTCATGCTGTCATCACTTCAGGCGTGCTGCACAGTCCGGAGGCCAGACTTCAGCATCCGGTTCAGGAGTCAGACAGAGGTATGATGGCAGCTTCTTCATTTTACCCCAGGCTGAGTAAGTTCTTCCTCTCCCTTTCCTGTTTAAAAATGTTTTTATGAGGTAGGCTTGTTTAGGCAGCTGGAATGACATATTAAGTGGTTCATGAAGAATTTACAAAACTAACTGAAGGAAACTTTGCTCCCTTGGACTGTTTGCCCCCCTCTTCTGTTTCTACCTTTACTTGAGCCTCTCTTTCTTGAAAGTCTAATTGTTAACTCCATTTGGTTTTGGTGTCACTTGTAGGATTTTCTGGTGCACTGAGCAGAATCAGAAAAAGTAAGACTGAGTGGCTTCTCTGGTGATTAATTTTGACTGCCATTTAGCCAATGTTTTTTCTTAGCTGCATTGCCACAATACATTTTACTCCAATATAGAATAATTAGTAGTGATCAATTTTTCATAGTCCTTGAAGGAAGTGTAATGTATATATTACTGCATGTTGCACAAGATGTCAACTCTCTGAATAGAGCCCTACTATGGCCATAATAAATACATGTTGTCTAGTAGTTAAATTAACTACAGTGCCTTAGTATGATTAGTATACAGGTAGTCCTTGACCTATGACTACAATTGAGCCTAAAATTTATGCTGCTAAATGAGAAATTCATTAAATGAGTTTTGTCCCATTTTACAACTTTTCTTGCCACGTTTGTTAACTGAATCACTTCAATTGTTAAGTTAGTAACATGGTTGTTAAGGAAATCTGGCTTCCCCATTGACTTTGCTTATCAGAAAGTTGCAAAAGGGGATCACATGACCGCATAACATTGCAACTGTCATAAATATGAACCAGTTGCCAAGCATCCAAAGGTAAATCACATGACCATGGGGATGCTACAACAGTCATAAAGTGTGAAAAACTGTCATAAATCACTTTTTTCAGTGCTGTTGTAACTTCGAATGGTCACTAAATGAACTGTTGTAAGTTGAGGACTATCTGTATTTACAAAACAGTTTTGACAGCTGCAGTTTTGTCAGATCTGGCCTAGTTAGTGGGATGGGAGACCATCAGAGAATGTCAGAGATGCAGACTAGACTGGGAAGACAAAATAATCCCAAAAGAATGTAATGGCAACCCATTTTGTACTGTTGCCAAGAAAACTATGAACTGAATTTGAGTTGAAGGTGATTTTACTTTTAGATATATGTTTGGCACTAGTTAACATTTCCTTTTATATTTATATTATTTATATTTATATTTATATTTATATTTTATATTTATATAAATTTATATATTTTATATATATATATATATATATATATAATATTTTGTTTCAGTTTGCTTCCTGAATTGCTTTCCCTTTTACATTTATTGTGCAGCTTTGTGAATCCTTGTGGAGTGTGGTGACATCAGATGGTACTTGATAAATAAATATGCAAACAGGCATTGCAAATCCTGTATCAGAAATAATTCTAGAGAAAGTGATCGGTTCTCCCTTTTGTTTTAAAGAGTGCTGGATCCTGTGATCCAGGTGATCAAGGAAGGAGATGAAACAGCATTGCAAAACATGATACAGGCAGGAAAAAACCTTGGACAGCCTAACAAAGATGGATGGTTGCCACTCCATGAAGCTGCTTATTATGGACAAGAGAGCTGCTTGAAACTGCTGCATAGATGCAAGTATCAGGAAAGAGGCTGATTGCAGAGAGGAAGACAAAATCATTTTATGATACAAAGTAACCTGTTAGGTTGTATTATAACATAGTACATGGTACAAAGTAGCTTGCATATGCAACCTGTTTCTATACATGCAAATTTTATTTAAATGGTTCCCCTAAATTTGAACATAATGAGTTTGTTATCTGCAAATAATCATGAAAGCAAGTTTTTATAGTTTCATTATTTATTTATTTTACTTAGAAACTTATATGGTTACTTATTTTATACAACATAATCCTGAATAGTTCACAATAATGTTAAATAAAAACAGAACAAATAAACACACACACACACACATGTATGTATGTATGTGTATATGTATGTATATGTGTGTGTGTGTGTGTGTATAATTTCTTCCAAGTTTTCATGGCATTTATTGAAGGTTTTTTATGCAGGCACCTTTGATTCAAATCCAGCTTAGTTCATAATTTTAAAAAATGTAATGCTGTGCACTTAGTATATTATTATTATTATTATTATTATTATTATTATTATTATTATTAATTAATTAATTAATTAAATTTTTATGCCGCCCTCCTCCTGAAGGACTCAGGGCGGTGAACAGCCAAGATTAAAATACATACAATATGAAAATTAAAATAATTTAAAACATAATTAAATCAATTTGGCTACCCCAATTTAAAACCCCTTACCCATAAAATTAACCAGTTAAAAATTTTAAGGCAACCTGGCTTGCTGAAATACAAAAGTCTTCAAGGCCCGGCAGAAAGTACGGAGGTCCAGGATCAGTCGTATCCCTGGGGGTAGCTCGTTCCAGAGGGCGGGTACCCCCACAGAGAAGGCTCTCCCCCTGGAGGCCACCAGTCGACATTGTTTGACCAACGGCACCCTGAGGAGACCCTCTCTGTGGGAGCGTATTGGCCGGTGGGAGGTTATTGGTGGCAGAAGGTGATCTCGTAGATATCCAGGCCCTAAGCCATGGAGCGCTTTAAAGATGAGAATCAATACCTTGAAGCGCATCCGGAAGACCATATGAAAATCTTGTGTGTTTATACTGTTATACTGATATAAGGCAGTGTGGTGGTGGTGGTGGTGGTGGTGATGATGGTAAACTCAGGCAGTGGGACTTTCCAAAGCTTTTCTACAATGATCATACCTTCCTACAAAAGCAAATCAATACAACACATACCAATTAAGTCCCAAAGACGTTAAACTGTCAATATATGCTATTTACTAAAGTAGTTTACTATCTCATATAAGTTCTAATAGTAATTGCCATGGGCAAGCTTTTAGCCTTGATCATTCAGGTGTATTAGATTACAACTTTATTTATCTGCTTGACTGTGCTGCCAAGAACAGAATTGTGGTTTGATACAGCTGGGGTACATCATTTTGGAGAAGGCTAAATAATACTCACTATTAATATTATCTAGACGCGCTGTATGCCTTGCTTAATGTAGTTCAATGTTTTCTCAATAGCTTTCCCTGGGACAATTGATCAACGTACACTTCAGGAAGAAACAGCACTCTATTTAGCAACAAACAGAGGGAATATTGATTGCATGCGTTCATTGCTCCAGGCTGGAGCAGAACCTGATATTGCAAACAAAGCCAGGGAGACCCCACTTTATAAGGGTATGTAACTTCATTCATGTTGAGGCTTGAGCTAGAATGTACTGGTGTCTTTATATTTGGAAATGCTTTCTACCCTGGAACCTTCACACCTGTAATGAGTGTTGAATGTTCATACTTGTCTTGAAAGCAGGATATGCCAGAGAAATAAAGAGGTTCCCATCCTTTTTCCCCTCCAATATTCCCCCAATATGCCCTTGGAATTTCCATTTGTGGTTCTTACCTTTCTGGGTATAAAATTATTTTGGGCCCAAGAAATACATTTGTTCCATTAAAAAAAAAAAAATTCATGGATTTCAAATGATCTTTTCCCCCAAATCTCCCCAGAGAAATAAAATAGAAGGTATATTTGTATGCACGGCCCCGTGCTGTAGCTAGTGTCATAATTAATGAAATAAATGCTCTCAACATGCAGATTTTCTTTCTTTTGACATGACAGCCTGTGAACGCAAAAATTCTGAAGCTGTGCAGATGTTATTGCAGTACAATGCTGATGTGAACCATCGCTGCAATCGTGGATGGACAGCGCTTCATGAAGCTGTTGCTCGAAATGATTTAGAAATAATAGAACTTTTAGTTCAAGGAGGTGCCAAGGTTGAATCTGCAAACTGTTATGGAATTAGCTCTTTATTTGTAGCAGCTGAGAGTGGCCACTTAGAAGCCTTGAGATACCTGGCGAAATGTGGTAAGTACCAAATACACAGGAAGCCACAACCGAATCATTGATGGATTGGTTGTGGACTGCACATCATTCATTCATTTTTTGTATGTGCTTTTCTTTAATCAGCCTATGATTTGTTATTGGTTTCGTTTCAAGTACATTCAAATATTTATATTTACTATTATTTTATTTATAAATAAAACAGAAACAACAATAGAAAGATCAAGAAACATCAACACACCTGTGCATTATTCCAAGCTTTAAAGCCATTCTGAGAATCCTAAAATAATTTTATTCCTCTTGTAAATGCGCAATATTTCCATAAATTGAATATTCATTTTTTTTCTTATTGAAAAGAAGTCTAGTGTTGGGCTTTGTAATTGTGTTTATAGTTACAGTTTTGTTAAGTCTGCCAAATATAACAAGAGTTTTCTGTTGTTTGCAAGGGAAACAAATTCTGCTTGGCAAAGATTTGTGCAGCTGAATGTTAGGCATGTTTATTTAAATGAAATCACCACCCTATTGAAAGAGGTTTGTTCTCAAAGAGTGTGTGTGTGTGTGTGTGTGTGTGTGTGTGTGTGTGTGTGTGAAAGATTTCAGGGCATTGAGATCAAGCAGAAGACTGACATATCCATTTCTTTAGGGTATTTCGTTGTCACCTTTGCAAACATGATTAAGTTGGTACAGAAGCTTTCAAAAATCTCTTCCCACTTATGGCTATATCCATGTTGCTTGTATCTTTACAACTTATATTGTTTTTATTGTTTCCTAATATGATTTGATTGCTTATTAGTATCCTAATAAGTGTTGTATCTTATGATTGTTGATGAATATATTTTATTATTTCTTATGTACACTGAGAGCATATGCACCAAAGACAAATTTCTTGTGTGTCCAATCAACTTGGCCAATAAAAGAATTCTATTCTATTCTATTCTATTCTATTCTATTCTATTCTATTCTATTCTATTCTATTCTAAATAATAATTTGTGAGATAAAACATCAAAATAGTGAAATCCATTAAAATAATATCTAAACCACCATACCACTTTTAAGAATAGAGTTTAAAACATGTCAATTGTTCTTAAGTATTCGAAGTCAAAGGGCATGTTTTTCAATAAAAATCTTATTACCCCCTTTTTAGTCAGAAATAGTAATATCCTAATTTCAATGAAGCATTCATTATTTCTTTAACTGTGGGATTAAAAATTAGGGCTTAATTAAAAGGAGTAGCATTCACCCCTAAGATTTTCTCTCAATCTACAAGCTAAAATGAACCCAAACTGGACCATTTTCATGACTACATTCTCTTTATCTAATCTAATGTTGACCAAATTAAGTCTCAATCAAGTAACTTTATCTGCAAAGAACAAAGGTGTCTCAGTCATTTTTTTTGTCTGCATCTCTATCTCCCACTCGCTTGGTCCAGCCATCCCACTGACCTCATGGGGATGCTCCTAGAAAAAGGACTTCTTGAAACTCTAATCAAAAGAGATCATTCAAACAAATCAACTCTTTTATCATAACTGACTTTTCTGCTAAGCTGAAAAAGGAAGATAAACAGCTGGAAAATACAAGGAGATTACATTTTACGGTGTAAATTTATTTATTCTGCATGCATTGAATCAAATTATTGTTTGATTTACAGCACTTCACAAGCATAAAGCAGTTGTTGAAAATATTTATGTTTTCTTTGGACTAGAAATTTCTGGTAAAGAACTATGTGTTCTTAATAATTCCAGATCTTTTGAGATTCTGCTTTACACATCTTTCATTCCCAGGTGCTGATATCAATACCCAAGCTAGTGACAAAGCTTCAGCTCTCTATGAAGCTTCTAAAAATGGACATGAGAAGATTGTGGAATTTCTCTTGTCTCAAGGTGCTGATGCTAACAAAACCAATAAGGATGGGTTCTTACCAATTCATATGGCCTCCAAAAAAGGCTATTATGAGTAAGTTGCTTCTTTAATTTTCAGTATTTGGTCAGTTTAAACAAATGAAGATTAACTGTGCATAAAATGTAGGTTAAAATAAAAAAATCAATTATTTTCACCTCAGCAGTTGATATCAAAAATTCAGTTATCATCTAAATAAAAAATAATCAGGATGTGATAGATCATATAGGGCCTGGTGGCTCAGCAGACTAAAAGCATTGTGATTAATACCAGCTGTCTGCAATTACTGTAAGTTCGAATCTCACCAGGCTCAAGGTTGACTCAGTCTTCCATCCTTTTTAAGGTAGGTAAAATGAGGACCCAGTTTGTGGGGGCAATAAACTGACTTTGTATAAATATACAAAAGTATGAAGGCTATTGCTTAACGCATTGTAAGCCGCCCTGAGTCTCCGGAGAAGGGTGGCATATAAATCAAATTTTTTAAAAAATATATATATATACAATTTAGAATACCCAAAAGAGCAAGAGAGAAAGAGAAATATTCAAGTTTATACTGTGGATATATGTGATATATCTTTCTCTATCCCATATATCCACTTTTATGCATGAAATTGTGGCTGCAGAGTTATTATGCTTATTTATTGTGACTTAGTAATATATATAAAAAAATAAAGTCAAGAAAATCTTCTGTCTCCAAGATTCTTAAAAGCTAAAGTTTCTTTGTGAAGGTACAAGACAAGGAACAGAAAGAAGTAAGACTAACAAAAGATGAACCAATTAGTTGGTTAGATTTGAATCATGGGAAAAATGGGTTCTGTGGGCCACAAAGTTATAGTTTGGTAACCAGGTTATACAGATGGTTATACAGTTTGGCTCCTTCCAAGTTAATTATTTAATTTTTTAAAATCCTAGTGATTATACTGCTTTAGCAGTATTTTGCAAATTCATACACAATGTAAAGTGATGATTCGAAACCCATTTCAGGTCATATTAATGAGTCAGCATCTCTAACCAGAATGGTCTTGGACAGATCCGCATCATAGGGTCAATATTTTTAATTTATTTTCAGTCATTCTTACTTTCAAGTAAGTTACAAGTTACAAGTGAGATTCATTGCACAGTGTTAATTGCTCATAGTAATTGCTAGGGTTATATAATAAATGGTTTTCAGAAAGAATTTAAGATTGAGTCTTTTGGTGAACAAATCTGAATCTCAGTGCAACTCTAGTAATATGTGTGTCAGTAAGATGTATATTTTGATATGTTTACTCAATTAAAAACTCTAGCTCCAGTTATTAATCTAAACAGGTGAACTAGAATGTTCTTCCTGTTATGGTAGACTTCCATTTACAGAATACTATTCTATGAAGGAACTGACTTGTATCAAAATGATCCAAGTTTCAGGTAAACCTATTCATAATATCTTCCTATCTTTTCCATTAATGAGCTCTGCATATCTGTAAATCAGATATAGAACAACGTTGATTTTAGCAATTCACATACTGAAAACGCCTACTGTTCATGCAATCCAAGGAGAAAGAACAGGGAGAAGTTATTATCTATTTCTTCCCTAATACCCTACATAACTGGCTGGGAGGTACTTGCACTTTTCACATTTCAACAAACTACTTCTCCCATCATTCCTAAGTACTGACCATGCTGCATAATGATGACAGGAGTTCATATCCAAAGGTAATGTACCCCTGCCAGCGAAGAATTGTTTAAAAATCCTGTTCTGTCTCTTTAAGAAAAGGAAGTACAGGACACAAGGGCTGGGAAACTAAAGAGCAGGGAGTTGGAAATGAGGCTGGAACTCTGTTCTGTGCTTTTATTCAACAAAACTATTTAAAGCAACTAAAATCTTGTACAATTCTTTGCAGGTTACTATATAATTATAAACACCGAATGAACCCCAGGATGTTTTGTCAATAACTTGTGTATGAAAATATGATGTGTGAGTGTGTGTGTGTGTGTGTGAGAGAGAGAGAGAGAGAGAGAGAATGTACAATGCCAAAATCAGTCCACTGGAGCATGAGGGTCTCTTACTTAAAGCTTATCTACCATACCTATTTATAATCAATAACTTTGATTATATTTGTCTTTCAATTTCATTTTTGCCAGGATTGTGAAAATGCTACTCCCAGTAACAAGTCGTACTCGCATCAAGCGTAGTGGCATCAGCCCTCTACATTTGGCAGCTGAGCGCAACCATGATGATGTCATGGAAGAGCTGATTGATGCTGGCTTTGATGTAAATGCCACCCTTTCTTTTGAGCGTTCCCGACTCTATGAGGATAGGCGCACCAGTGTTCTCTATTTTTCAGTCTTCAACAACAATGTATATGCCACTGAGCTGCTGCTCGAGGCTGGCGCTGATCCCAATGTTGACCTGATCAATCCATTGCTCATCTCCATCCGCCATGGATGTTTGAAGACAATGAAACTGCTTCTTGATTATGGAGCTAACATTAATGCCTACGTTGCCTCTCACCCTACAACTTTTCCTGCTACTGTAATGTTTTCAATGAAGTATCTTGCCCTGCTGAAATTTTTGATGGACATGGGCTGCGATGCCAACTCTTGCTTTACGTGTTGTTATGGGTGTGGCCCACATCCTCCTATTGATATTAGGAGGGAAAGGTATAATGAACCTGCAGTGAATAATGAGAACAAAATTGTACAGGTAAATTTATTTTTATTATCTCATCTTTTCTATGACATTTAGAGGAATACATGGGAAAAATAGCTCAGAGGTAAGCAACATAGTTTTTTCTTAGAATAGCTACAAGTTTAAATTCTGGTTTCTCCAGTTTAAACAACATCAACCCATCTTATTATCTAGCCCATAGAAATTTAGGGTACTTTGCCTTTGGCAATGTCATCCAGCCTCCAGAAATCAAATTTCTTATTAGCTGCTGGATAGCTGAATTAATTGCAACATTAATATTAAGAGTTACTTTGTGTGAGATGGGTAACTATATACATACATAGATACAGGCAGGCAGGCAGGCAGACAGACAGACATGTAGAGTGAGGACAGCGGGAAGGATATCATTTGTGTAATGAAGGTTTGAGGTCTTCTATATTTTGTGTTTTCAAACTTCACTTTATACACATCCTACTTCCTACAAACAAGGTTTTGTTTAGCAGAGAAAATAGCAGTTGCTATCATCCCAGATACTATGGTCCAGAAGATTATGATAGAAAAAAATTAGAGAGTTGCTCTCCATTTTCATTTGGCAGGTGAATTAACTTAGTATAGTCTCCATAATAAAAATTATCAATTTAACTTAGTAAAATCTGTCTGTATTTCACATGAAGCAAAATTAGTAAAAAATCCCCAGTCAATTATTACTGCTAGGTACCCAGCATATTAATAACATTTTGTTAGTTTAGAAATAGGTATTTTTGTATTGACATGTAGTTATTTTATGGTTTTTCATCTTCAAGTCTTGTTTCTTTTGTTTTTCTGTGAACTTTGGGGTTCCTCTAAGTCTTATGATACCTAATGTCTAATTTTGGTAGAAATTTGGGTACAAAAAGAATGAATATGTTTGCATGCTATATTTAATAAATAGGATGTGTCTTTTACTGGTATTTTATTTGCCACTAGAGGGCATTTCAATTATTTTATGGAAAGTAACCAATTTTTTCAACAGCATATTCTTGCATTATTGTTGTCCTTTAAGCTAGTAATATTTGACACATCTACAAAATATATATTTTCCTTTCAGTGCAAACTGGTTGGATGAAGTTTTTGTTAATATGGAAACAAAAATTTCTTTCTCTGAGTGATGCTGGCATGTTGGAAAGCATATCATATTAGGATATAAACAGTCATACTGAACAAAAATTGATCCGTTATAGTCTTGCATTATATGCACACATATGATATATAGCTTAAATAATGTACAATTCAGTAAAAAAATAAATACTACTTACTATTACTTTATGGTGAGTAGAAAAAGAACTGTAATCATCTGCAAGAGCCCAAGGACTATGTCTTAATTATGATCTATAGTGCTCCAGAACAAGATAGCAGAATTCTGGAATGGGACAACTCGTTGCACCAGCTTACCATGGGACACTTCGTCCTAGGACAGCTCGCCACAGAACAATTCCACATGTGATAACTCAATGCGATAAATAGTAACTGCCACTGTTTCTTCGATATTTGTCCATTGATAAAAATAGAAATAACATAGAAGAAACAGTGGTGGATAACATTTATCGCCCTAAGTTATCCCATATGGATTCTCCCATGGTAAGTTGGCTATGGCAAGATGGTCATGGAAAATTGGCCTAGTCCCACAGAATTCTGTACTGAATAGCTTCCAGACTGCAGGCAGAATCTTATTTTTGAATGCCGAGTATAAACTTTTCTTCCCATATATAATAAACAATAGATGGATTTTTATGCAGAAAAGAATCCAAAACACATCTTTCCAATCCCAAATGGTAACATTAAATATTCTGTTCTCTCCATTTCCTTTTGTGCATCTACCTTGCTGTCCCTATGTTGATTTATATACAAATCAGTAGATTTCAGCTTTTCCTGCAGAATGGTCATCTATGTTGTAGCATTGCCTCGTCTGAGTTTTTTGAAAATCTCCCACCTTTCTGCTGCGATGAAAGAAATCAGTGATTAATGCTATTTTTTTCCAAAGTAATAATAAAGAAATGACCTTCAAGAACAATTAACAGGCTATAAATATGAATTCAGACACATATTCTTAATAAAGATAAATGCTCCTTTGATTCACCTCGATTTAGTTACAAGTATATTACATTCCAGTATTTTCTAAACAAAAGAAGGTATAACTATATTAAGGAATATAGTAACCTGAATTTTTTTTTATTTGGACTGTCAATCCAAAAAACAAGTTTGAGGGTTCTCTGCAGCATCATAGCTGTTCCTAGCATTTCATTCTTCTGGATAGAGAGTTCTGATGTTTCTGGGATCTGTTGGAGCCACTCTCCCAGTTTAGGAGGCACAGTCCTGAATGGGCCAACAACCACTGGAATCACTTTGGCCTTTACTTTCCACATCTTCTCTAGTTCCCCCTTTAAGCCCTTCTTCTAGAACAGGGGTCAACAACCTGCAGCTCTGGAGCCGCATGTGGCTCTTTCACCCCTCTGCTGTGGCTCCGTCACTCAAAATATGTATCACAACCGCCAATGTGCGACACCCACCGACATGCAATTTATTGAGCTTTTCAATCCCTGGTAGGCCAACCATGGATAAATCCAAGAAAAGAAAAGTTTCAGAAGAAAACACAACGTTTAATTCAACTACATATGCTGGTTTTGTGGCCACTCAAGAAATAGTCAGGCACCAGAAGGGTTTTGTGGCTCCTGGTGTTTTCTTTTCTGTGGGAAACAGGTCCAAATGGCTCTTCGAGCATTTAAGGTTGCAGACCCCTGTTCTAGGAGATATGACATATAATTCATTGTAGCTACTAACACATATATTGAGAAAATAAATTTTGTTTCTGTGAAATAATTATTGCAAATAATTATACTTGAAACTATTCTGTACTGTTATGTCTTGTACTTTCTTATGCCTTTTAATCATTTACAGTGTTGATTATATATAATTTATTCTTCTCCACCCACCCCAGTTTTGTGAAATGGTTTCAACCCCAGAGATGAGTCGTTGGGCAGGACCTATTATAGATGTTCTTTTGGATTATGTGGGCAACGTGCAGCTTTGTTCCCGGTTGAAGGAACACATTGACAGTTATGAAGATTGGTCCAACATTAAAGTAAAAGCAGGTTAGTTATGATGTGGGCTTGAACTTCTATTATTCAAGAATAATAGAATACACCAGTATTACTTTGTAATGCAACTGTTACTACTAAATGCAGTGGCACTCTTACATGTGAATAACAGCCAACTTATAAAAGTTACTATATAGGACAAAAACATTCAAGCCTCTAAGATATGTTGAATGTTAGCTCACAAGAATATCATTATATAATATATAGTCTGATTGTCAGGAGATACCACCTAATGATTATTTGTTCAAATTATTTTACTAAAATATGGATATAGGTGTTTTGGAGGTCTTTAAGAAAAGATTGGACGATCATTTGTCTGAAATAGTACAGGGTCTCCTCTTGAGCAGGGGATTGGACTAGAAGACCTCCAAGGTTCTTTCCAACTCTGTTATTCTGTTAATCTGTTGTTCTGTTAAGACCTGAATAGTATCTTACTAAGTTGAGATATGCATACATTTTAACCATTCATATTTAGTTATTTTATTTTAAAAGTCCTTAGTTTTTAAAGTATGTTTGTGGTACAGTACCCTTGAAATATACACTCAAGTTTTTATGAAAAAATATTAGCTCGTTTTAGGCCAAAAGTAGTATCAGCATAACATGCTACTTGCTTGCTTGCTTATTTACTTATATACTTGACAATATTTTTTCATTTCCAGAGCCACCAAGGCCACTTGCACATCTTTGTCGAATCAAAATTCGAATTGTGATAGGAAAAAACCGTCTTTCACTTATTGAGACTTTACCTTTGCCAAGAAGACTAATTCACTATTTACAATATGATTATTCCCAGTGATCTCAAGTGAGCCTGACAGTCAACCATTACATGGAGTGATAATCATATGTATTATAGAGCGAGCTGCCATGATGGAAACAGACTGATATGATGGAACAGAAAACTTGTTTTGATATGTAAGAAGAAAAAAATAAGGATTTCTGCAAGTTAAATCTCCGAACAAATGCAACAGCATTTAGAGTATGGGAAAGAGCTGAAAAAATGAGAATAAAGCACTCTGCAAATAGTGAAAGGGATATTATGCTATTTTACACTCTCAGTAGCTCAACATTTAGTACAAAATGCAGGCAGGGTAAAATGTAGATTATAATCTACCAATAAATCTCCAGGTGATCTGCATGTCACCAAGAACTTCCAATTCTCCCTGGTTTAATGGTGGCGACAGAAAACCTTTTTCCTCCTTAATTAAACTGCTAAAATAAATGTTTAAAAGCTTGAAAGAAAATAGGAGGTTTTTATGATGTGAAAGAACATAAGCACAAACTCCAGTTCTACTACCAAAAAGAAATTCCTGATCTGGGCATGTGTCCAGTAGTTCTAAATCTGCCTTCTTAAGCTGTTATTTTGTACTTGATTCTGGTTGACGGACCTCACAATTCTAGTGAAAAATAAATATGCATATTGTAAGCCTAAATTATTCATAACCAGATATAAGGAAGAGGTAGCAAAAATTGTATCTCTCCATATAGGTAAATGCAATGAATTATGCAGGTGATCACACTGTAATCATTCATAGTGACATCAATCAATTCTTTTTCGGTTGATGCAATTATAAATATTGCTGCCAACTGTATAGTATGCTGGATTTTGTGTCTGTTGACCTAACTGATGATTTTGTTAATAGGCATTAGCAAGTTTACTCATTCATATGGATAACAAATATATTTTGTCAATAGTCATGTAACAAAACCATCTTGATGCAATGCAAAGGTGAAAAGAAGTCCAATAATGGTTAAATCAGCATAACATTTCAGTTTTGGGATTGTATTTTATTTTACTTCAGTTTGCTGAACTTGCTAATGTTTGGCTGTTCTATTCTACGTCATCATAGTTTCATGTTTTCCCATCTAATTTAACATGTATTAGCCATTTATTCTTATTTAAAAAAAACATTTAATATTATTTTCTTGTTCCTGGTTAAGTAATTTTGCAAATACTGCACTTCAAGAAATGAAAGATATTGAAGAATTTAATTTACAGGAAATAAGAACACAACATTTAACTCAGATGTATAGATCTGTATCATATTATATAAATATATGTACATACATTAGTTATGAGGATTAATGTGACTGAAACCCATAGTATTTAACATTATTTTAGCAGCATTGAAGGAGAGAGTAGATTCAAATCCTGTGTTGCTTCAGAAAGACTTCAGGAGAAAATTCTTGATCTGCTATTGATGAAAAACAATAATAGTGAGTTGTATCATTGCAAAGCCACTAGGTTAATTTCAGAATAAGTAATTTAGTTTAACAGGGTTATGAACTGAAAATCTTATTGCTTAATTAGATTATGTATAACAATTTAGGCTTTCATTAGAATAGTCTTAATGGCCAATGATCTATATGTAAGCAATTACTTAGCAGCACTATAGTTTTTAAATAAAACTCTTGTTTGGTGGCATTGCATACTTTTAGAGAAATAATTTAGTGTCATTAAGTTATTAGAAGAAAAATTTATCCTCATGGATGTTGTATTGTAGATACCTTAAATTGACATCCTCTTAACACTTAATACTTCCATAAGAAAGTATTCATCTTTCTAATTCAGATCATCTTTATGGGTCTCTGAAGTATATATAAAAAGTGCTTCAATTGATATAATTCATGTTTGCTTTATAAGTGTGATAACAAAGAAGCTTAACGTTAATTCAAAGAGATTTAAGCAGAGTTCATTATATGCATTTCAAGAGTACTTTGCAGAAATGTCTGAAATAAACTGTAGGACACTTTGGAGATATATATAACTGGCTTAATATTCATAATATTGCAGTTCCATGAATAACTTTTTTTTAAAAAAAGTTTTTTAAAAAAACTTTGAATTGTTTTAATATGACATAGTTGAGAATAGCACCAATTCAAAAAAATATACATTTCTATATTTTCTACAAACTGAGAAATCTAATTGATTCACTCTTTTTAGGGAAAAGTTCATATATCCAGTATATTGGAGAAAAAGAAGCATTAAAAAGGCTTCCTAGTTTTTCTCATTAGACATACAGAGATAAATTGTCAATTTGAATTCCTCACTCACATAACCAGGATTAACTCCAATGGATGCCATAGAATGAGGAGGAAATTATCCATTAAATGTCCCTTTGAGAATTGCCCTTTCACTTCATTATTTCTTGCCATTTACAGAAAGATTTTCAAGAAATCTGCTTGGCTGGGTTTACATAGATCTATTAGCTGAGTAATACCTTAATACTGGTTTAACATGTAAAATAATAAGAATTATCTACTCAGTTTTCTATATACTAGCCTGCTCCAGAGAAATTACAAGTATAATGGTGGATATGTAGCTTTCTACTGCTCCAGTGATTTTGTGATTTTTTTAAATTCACCAGTTTTATCAAATCTGTACAAATTCTGTTGTTTTATACAAGTACAAAATATTATTGTAAATCTTAAAGTTAAGAATATTTAGGACTTAAAAATAAGCTTCATAGTTCCATGCTTTACCTGATAGTGTTGAAGACAGAAAGAACCTGTTATTGTGCTCTATATCATATATAAAGAACATTTTAGGATTTTTGCAGATTGTCGTATTAACATTATCTGTTTGATCTATTATTTTATAAATGTGTGCCTAAACAAGATTGCAATGTATTTTTGAAATTTTTGTTATGTTAACAATAGTTTTTTTTTAAACAACTGGAGATTAATGTGGGAGGGATCAGTGAACCAATATTTTAAAAGCACTGTGTTTTTAGGTGGCGTTGTTTGCATTAAATTTGAGTAAAATTAATTGCACTCCATTTTTACTTTTAAGACATTTCTGAAAGGAGTAGACACACTACTTATATGTTAAACGAAATATACTTAGGAGAGGGAGGGTCTAGATAAATTTGGCCTGCAATTTATCAGCATTTCCAGATACATTTTCCTCAATTAAATATTTATCTGATATTGTGTAAATGTTATGCATTCATAGAGTGCTACATGAGTTGTTTTCTAGTGATTTTATAAAACATTGTACTCGCTGATTCTTCTACTATTACTGTGAGTAGGAAAGTTCCTAGAGTAAATAGGGATGTTGAAATAAAAAGATGTTTATGCAGGGGTGAAATCCAGCAGGTTCTGACAAGTTCTGGAGAACCAGTAGCGGAAATTTTGAGCCATTCGGAGAACTGGTAGTGGAAATTTTGAGTAGTTTGGAGAAACCAGCAAATACCACCTCTGGCTGGCCCCCGAGTGGGGTGGGAATGGGGATTTTGCAATATCCCTCCCCTGGAGTGGGGTGGGAATGGAGATTTTGCAGTATCTTTCCCCTGGAGTGGGGTGGGAATAGAGATTTTGCAGTATCCTTCCCCTGCCATGCCCACCAAGCTGTGCCCACCAAGCCACACCATGCCCACCGAGCCACGCCCACAGAAACAGTAGTAAAAAAAATTGGATTTCACTACTGGGTTTATGTGTATACTTTCTTCTGCTTGATGTACCAAATAATATTTCAGATGATGTAGTAAATTTAAACAGACATCAGATGACAGAATCCCAATCAATGGCATAGTATGGAACATGTCTCCTGAGATATGTCTTCCATTTCCCACACCAAACACAGAACATGGCACTGAAATGTAAGCCCTCATAAGTTCTGTTTTTACCAGTATATAGGCATACATCGAAACCTGAAAGAAAGTGCTCTTTTCCCCCGTTAATTAAAATGTCATTGTCTAGTCCCATAGAGTTATTTTCACTTATCACAAATGACCAAGAGAGGCTGTTTAAACCATACACTTATTTGCATAAAAAGGGTACAAAGAAAAATTTAAGAGTTTAGTATCTTTACCATTGTTTTCATTTTAAATTTTTGAAGGCATATTATTTGATACATGTGCAGTCATACAGGGAGACCATTGAAGGTATAATTCTTTGCAAATAGGACAGTACAAATCTATGTAGGGGAGAATTTCTTGCAAATAGAACATCTAATGATGAAATTACTTGTTAAAACCACACAGTAGCTGTTATGTTTTATATAGTAAGTGCAGTATATGAAATTCTTGTTAATTTCTTTATACTTTAGGTTTGGGCTCATGAAATACACATGCACACTACAGCACTCCTCACTTAGTGACCTCATACACTGACTGTGGTCACAACAGTGATACAAAAATAATTTTGCTATCAATCCCCATGTTTATGAGCTTCCTAGGTCTATAAAACAAAGGAAGCTGAAGATATTAAGGACAGTCACAATTTCAGTTAGCAATCTCTTTGCATACAGCTACATTTCTAGTCCCTATTGTACTTGCTAAACAATGATTAGTGGTGGCGACACAGTGGTTAGAATGCAGTACTGCAGGCTAATTCTGCTGAGTGCCAACTGTCAGCAATTCGGCAATTCAATTCTTACCAGATCAAGGCCTTCCATCCTTCTGAGGTCAGTAAAATGAGGACCCAGATTGTTGGGGGTAGTATGCTGACTCTGTGAACCACTTAGATAAGGGCTCCAAACCTTTTGGGTATCAGAAGGGGTGTGGTTTCATGTGCTGCCTGCATCCTGTGAATGGGGCTTCCCTAGTTTGAACGAGACAGTTTCTGGCATGTCATGGACTGGTGCCAGTCCACAGACGAGGGAGGGTTGGGGATCCCTGATTTAGAGAGGGCTGTAAAACACTGTGAAGTAGTATATAAGTCTAAGGGCTATTGCTACCTGCATATGTTCTGATTTATATTTGGTTTGCCACAATCTCCAAAAGGTAATAAAGTAAAGAGTAGTTATTCTTAAATAGTTCCTTGAAAGAGTAAGAAAAATTTCTTACAGATAAATCTAACCTTTTCAAGTGCAATATCATATGGCATTGTTCCAATGGCAAAACTCTGGAGTGTGGAGAATATACACAACAAGCATTAAAGAAATTAATCCTGATATAATCAAGTTGCTAAAAAAGAGAAATTTGAAAGGTATTATAATAATCAGAAACACTGAAAATTTATGCTGAAAAATAAATATGAAAAATAGGGATAGTGTATAAATGGTAGCCATTTTCCCTAAATGTTATTCCAATTTAATGAAATGAACAACTCAATGGGGAAATTAACAGAATACAGGTCAATTTATTAGACACCTGTAACTCTTGTGCAATAGGGCTATTAAAATTATATTTAAAAAGTGCTAGATCAAACCATAGGACATAGGACTTCCCTTATACTGAAGGGAAGACCACAAGACATTGTGCTAAAGCCTATGAAAACTTAGTATACAAACGTAGCTTTTCTTTAAACAAAGTTATATAGATTCCTTTAAAAATATCTTTTGAAAAGAACAAAAGCTCACTTTTGTAAGATACCTGTATTTCATCTACTTCCAATATTTCCAAGTCCAATCCACTTTTGGTTAAGATTTGTTTCATATCATTGGATTTGCAGCTCAAACAAAGCTGTAACATATAGTTGGAAATTCATTTATTAGTAGCTTAGTTTATTGGTCTCTTGCCAGTTCATGCAAATGCTATTTTCAAAAGAAAGAGAATTGTAATAGCAACTGAATCACAAGTGAAATATCTGAAGTGTAAAGTAGCTTTCATAATAGCATTTATTGTGCTGCTTCCCTACTTCTCAAAGGTTAATTGTATGGCAGTTTTATTGGTTCATCTAAAACTGCTTACTGTAACTGGTCTAAGAGTTTGGTCAGTACATTTCTAATACCTGCTACCTAGTGCAATTTGATTTAGAAATTAAGGAAATGAACCTAAGGGTTTTTTTTTACATACAAATCTTTTTCATATTGACAGGAGTATCCTTATCATAGAAAAAAAAATCCTGTATTGTTTATTCTGTACCACTAAAATATATAAATAATAAAGACATTATTTTCAGACTTACTATAAATGATTGCTTTGCATACATGGGATGAGAGTAGTGCAAGGCTTCTTGCTTTTAAATGACCAAATTTCATAGAATCATTCAGCTAAAAACAACAAAGGACATTTTTGCTAACAAAGCTTCCTATCCAGAATTAACAACAGATGGGCTATAGATTAAAAGCAATTGATGCATTTGCACAAGAGTAAAACAATTCTCTTCTTTCTTCCTAAAAAGATAACACTTTTCCACCTAAACACATTTTAACAGTGGAGACTCAAAGGAAAAATTGTATGGGATTTATTTTTGTTTGTTGCAACAGTCTTGGTATTTACATGTCAGGAAAAAAACAGCATCCTTATTTACAGAAGTGTGTATTAACATTTTCTTACTTTTTTTGGCAGTGCAGACAAGACAAACCCCTGCCTCTTGAATAATTTCATTATTCAACAATTTGTTATTAATTCTTTCTTGCTAAGTCAGGCAGGGACAGTCTACCACCAAACTACAGTGTGGTTTATTTTTAATTTTATTAATTAGACTGCCACTCTTTTTTTTTTATCTTGCCCTTCTTTCAAACAACTCAAAGGGTATATATTTTAAATTCCACACATGCATACTTTGCCTTCACAACATCTTTGCCAGGTAGATCAAGTTCGGAGATAATTGGCCCAAGGTCACCAAGAGAACATATTTTAGCAGGAGACCTGATACATCAACACTGGATTGATTTCAACACCCTTTGACACTTTCATGGCTTTTTGTATTCCCTGATGAACCTCCAGAGCAGGGGGACCTGAGATTAAAGAGCAGATCAGCTGGTTTTTTTCAAGCTCTGGAAGTAGCCTAAGGCACTGTTTCAAAATCAGCATTGTGAGCAACCTGATGATTGAGAAGTGAGGTCCTTGCAAACTGAAGGGAGCCGCTACAGCTAAAGATAACTGAAGACGCTAAAGATGAGGGGCGGCGCGGCCGGCTTGGTGGGGATGGGCTTCCACACTACAGGCCGATACACTTTCTGTCCTGGCTGGCAGAAGGCCTCGCCCTCCGTCGGGGAAGGCGCATCTTTCCGCCACAAACCCAAAGCCGAGAAGGGGGCCGCGGGGGGCAGGGCGGCAGGCAGCGGGGGCGGGTAGACGCCGGGGGTGGCCTGTGGCCCGTGGTACTGAAATGGACAGCAGCCCCAGGTCCTCAATCCCTTGAGGGCGGCCTCTGGCTCTGGCCTGCGCGGGGGGCTCTCGAGAACCGTGCCGGTGCCGTCGTCGTCGAGGCCTATTTTATTTTTCTTTCCCTCATAAGGCGGCAGATCTTTGGAGGATGACGAGGAAGAAGAGGGCGACGAGCAAACTCCCATTGGAAAGACCACGCCACTGACAACACCGGGAGAGCCCGGAGGGGGCCGGGGTTCTTCCCAAAAAGAAGCGGGGAGTTGTCTTTTCCTCATGGGTACTTGGTCGGGCCTGGCGCCTGCCTCCGAAGTCCCTGCCTGCTGCTGCTGCTGCTGCTGCTCCTCACCGCCGAGGCGCTCTGGGGCCTTGGAGGCCTTGTCGCCCTTGGCCTCCCCGGAGGCCGCGTGGCGTCGGCCTAGCGAACTCTCGGGGCTCAGGCCTCGTGCCCTCCCTTCAGGCGGTCTCCGCTCCCGAGCGGGAGGCAACTGCGGCTGCAGGTGGTGGTGGTGGTGGTGGCAGCGGGGCAAGCGGGAATATTTCTGGGAAAAGCGCTTGAGCTGCTTTTGCAGGTATTTCCTGTGGTCTACGGAGCGGCGGCAGGGGGCCGACTTGTCCAGGGCGGCCTTGATGTCGCTTGAGGCCAAGTTGACGAAGTTGAGGAGGGTTTTCACCTCGCTGTCTGCCGAAGCCATCGCTCAGCCCGGCCGCGGATACGAAGAGGCGAGGAAGAAGGAAGGCCCGTCCATGAAAGGGTTGGCTCCCTCAGAGACAGGGAGCGCCTAACCCGAGGCGACGGTCGGTTCGCTTAGGCTAAATGGGATGACGGGGAATGTTTATCCTTGGCAGGAACATCGGGCCGCTTTTGCCAGATGGAAGATGGGTAACGCAGGTAGGTAGCCACCCGCGTGCATTTCTCCCCAGATTGTGCTTTCACACCATGCCCGAGGCTTCCAAAAAGACCGCTCCAAGTGTTAATTAACCAAAATGCGCTGCGCCTTCCCCAGCTTCTTTGATTTTTTCCCCCTCTGGTAACGAAAAAAAAAAAAGAGGAAAAATCAGTGGGAAGATACACATTAAAAATAGGGATGGGTGGACCTCTCGTGGAACTCAAGGATGAGGCAGAGTGAATGCCTGATTAAAAACTTCATCTAGAAGTATCTATTGTTAGGGATGCAAATGGATTTTTGAATGCTTTCAGTGATGTGTGTCGACTCCCACAATACTGAAGTGGCTAATTATATTTTTCACTTATAAAAGTTACATTGTATATTGTAAAGTCCTCAAAAAGTTTTTTTTCCATTGCCTACCTGCTTGCATTCAGTTTAAACATAGAAGCCTTGGTACTACAGTGGTTTAAAGCACCCTGTTATTAACACAGCTGCCTGCAATTTACTGCTGGTTCGAATCTCTCCAAGGCTCAAGGTTGACTCAGCCTTCCATCCTTTCTAAGGTAGGTTAAATGAGGACCCAGTTTGTGGGGGCAATAAGCTGACTTTGTATAAATATACAAAAGTATGAAGGCTATTGCTTAACGCACTGTAAGCCGCCCTGAGTCTCCGGAGAAGGGCGGCATATAAATCAAATTAAAAAAAAGAAAAAAAAAAAGAAGCCCCCTCTGCCTTTTGTCCTCTCATTGACATTCCACATGTCTGTACAAATAGGGTAACAAAGACTAAAATGCATTTTTACTTTCGCACGTGACAATTCCTGAAGAAATAACTCACATTCCTTTTCACATATCTGTAATGATCATATTCATACTATACTCAGCTCTGCACAAAAAAACCCCAGTTTTAACACTATTAATTACAGCTTCACATATACCCCCAAAACTCTTTTAGCTTAATAATGCAATTGTATTAACTTCCAGATTAATTTATCTGGATCCACTGTATTCAGTGGATCCAGATAAACATGTTTAGGATTTCAGTCTTTAAATGCCTGAATATTCTTTCTTTCTTACTGTCTCATTCTCTCCCCCACATAACATATATAGATACTCAAACAGTAAAATATGCTGGGCACAAAGGCAGACCTGCAGAAGTGAGATAGACATTTGTTTCAAATAATTAATCCATTCAATATTGTTTCAAATGCTTTTCTCTCCTGCAAGATCATGAACTCCACAAAGATCTTGCAGTATTGTATACATATTTGTTTATAATTATTCTACAAATTTACAGCTTAATAATACAATTATATCATATGTACAATCATTATTATATACCTCAATATATTCTGTTTCCCTTATTCCAGTCTTATACTTGCTGTGACTGTGGCCCTACTAGTTAATCTTACTAGACAGGTAGCATTTAACCTTTGAGTAGATATCTATGCACCATTTTCATGGCTTTCCAAGTTAAATTATATCCTTCCCAGCAAGATTCTCTCTTAAACATTGAGTGTTACTGTAACTCTGTGGTAGAGAAGAAGCAGCTCACCAGCTAATCTTGTTACATAGGTTAGATACTACCAACCTTTAGAGAAGCAGCCGGACCCTGTGAGTGTTTTGCAGCACTTGAGTAAGCTGAATGAATATCAAGCCCTTCTAGTTAGGAGGCTTTCTCAGGCCAATCAGAAGCCACTTTGCCAAATACAAAGCATCCCAATCAGGCATTAGGCTCCCTGTTCTCACATTCTTTGCCATCACAAATAGTCACCATGGGGACAGCCACAGAAAGACAGCTAATAAATACGATCATTTCCCTGTGATTCCTACCATTCTTTCTGTTCCAACCCCGTCCTCCCCCTTTTTTAAACACAATCAAACATGATATGCTGAGGATGAGTAAAGAAAGCTTGTTGAGGCTCTTTTCTCTAAACTACTCCAAAGCTGTCTGAAGACTGGCAGTAACCATGCTTGAGTAACACTGGACAATGCTAGTTTGGAAGACCTGGCTAGGCTACTTTTTAAACTGTTCTTGATCAGGCCTTTTTCCCCACTTAAAGGGAGGGTGATGTCAGAAAAAGGTAAGAAAAGAACAGATCTCTAAAGAGATGTGCAGATATCCATGGAAAAGAAGCTTGAGCGCTCAAGAATCTTGTCTTTATGTTTGCCCCCTCAATTGAGCCACACAAAAGCTGAATTACCCATTCAAACTACCCGGACAAAAGGATGGAGTTGGATAGTACTCTTGCATCTGTAGTCAAACAGTTAGAGGCTTAAATCGAGTCGTCATGATGGAGAAAGAGTTAGACAAAGCCCATAGAATTGCCATCAGCAAACATTTTCCTGTGTCATATTAGTGGGTCTCCATGACTCCCCCTGGCCTGGGGACAATAGCACAAGTTTGCACACTCGACTACTGTCACCCTGCCAACGCTGGCAATGAGCAGAAACAGGACAATCCTTTAAGGGGAAAGCATGCCCACTGCAGGGAAGGTAAGAAGAGAGGGAAGAAAAGCATGTGAAATGCTAATTGAGCTGCTTCCTTTATTGATTCAGAGTTATGTGAGTCCTCATCCTCCTTGCAGAGTTGTCCTTAGGGGTGGCAATAACTTAATAGCATGCTAAAGCATTGAGTCCCACACTGTGGGTTATCCCTACAGAGGTCTTTAAGAATAGGAAAGGAGAGAGAGAGAGTTGCCCTGAGTGAATTTCAGAAATGCTAGACATTCAGGAATAAAGCCAGCTAGCAATGCAGTATATCCACAACCAATGCTGGAGCAGACACAAATCCAATGGTTGCCAATTTTAGCACAAACACAGCATAAATATAGTTAAATTCTAGTTGTTGAAAGGGTTTTCAGGCAATCACTTGTCAGTTCATATTTCTATAGGAAAAAACCAAATTACTGAATATTGAAATGATACTTTAGAAGAACACTGGTACAACCACAACAATAATAGCAGTAAGATCCTGTTCTTATTTGCTGAATATCACTGATATATATGGGATTAATTTCTAAAGAATCAGACACTGAATTGCAAGGTTAGATTTTGTAAATGACTAAGCAAATAAAGCAACTCTTAGGTAAGTATAATTTTTGATATTTAAAATCTTGTAATCCTATAGGTACAACTATTTCACTCATTTATATTTTTCTCCTTATAACATTGTCTTACTATAAAAAAAGCTCACAATTTCAATAGTCTAAAGTAAGTAAAGAATCAACACTCAAAATAATGTTGAAATAATTCAACAAATAATGTTGAAATGCCAGCAAATTGTGTGCTAACAGGCTGATCCAAGATTGGCACTAAAATACGTTTTATTTCTCTGCTTATCAAGAGGACAACCTGAATAATTTCAAACAACTTCAGCTCTTATTTGAATATTTTAAATTTTATGTCAGATTCCTTTGTGTAAAAACATATAGCAAAATAATAAAAAAGTTACATAAAATTTTTGCAAATGCTGCTTCAATCAGTTGTTTTATAAGAAAAAAAATCCTTAAATTTATTTCTAGTCTCTTTTGCAGATAATTGAAATAATACTAGTGATGATATAGGATTTAGTGATTACTGGGTATAAATTCTTTGCACTAGAATCTCTGTAATAATAAAACTCTGTTTTCTATAAAATTCTCAGGAAAATTACACAAAAATAATGGATAATTTCTTTAGTGCTGATTAAAAGTTGTGTAAAAGCTATGTGACTGGAACATGTTTGCAATCAGGCAGCTGCCTACGTAGCAGCTGGTGGAATAAATTTTGGAAGTTATGGTAACTTGAGTGAATACAAATTGCACTAAACTGTTGGAAATAAGTTGCCACTTGATTCATTCATTGCATTGCAAGAACTTCTCTACTTCTTTCTGCAAATTAAGCCAGACATTGGTGGTTTTTGTTAATCTAAATGTGGTAGAAGAAGACTAATAGGTTTTAAAGGACTTTAATTAAGAAAAGATCCATTCTTCAAATCAAATTTTCTGCAATCTTTTCAGCATTTTTCCAATACCAGTGACTGCCAAAGAGAAGATGTAATTCAGTCAAACAGATGTTGATTATTGCAGATTTGCTTCAAAACAGTTTTTCTCAAATTTGCCTAGAAGCTCATCTAGCTGCTGAAAAAATGTAAGCAATAGATTTATTGTCCTCTCTCTCCCAGTGAGAACATCAATAGACATGTCTCGGTTACTCACTTTTCCCTTGGCAGGTGCAGGAAACCTTTTAATATGGGAGAGCCTCTTTTACTGTTTATATTGCAAACAAAAACAACAAGCCCTTTGGAAAAAGTGACTGAAAAATACATAACCTTGTGTACATGTGTGTAGAAACAATAAATTACTAGGAACTTCGTTAATTTCTTTGAGGCTAGTTAGTCTCAGATCTCTAGTTTTCCACCCTTAGATTGTATAAGCTTTCCCTCCTATGTGTTAGTTAAACTTTGTTATATTAAGTTATTTACTATTTACAAATATAAGAAGCCTATAAAAATTCTAAGTATTATACATATAAAAGTAAATAATTATGCAATAAAAAATCTTAAAATATAGCAATGATTGAAATATACCCAGAACAAAGAAAATGGAAACATAAACATAGTAAAATGAATAACTAAAAAGGATATAGAAAATTTTGTTTGCTTGGTTATTTATTTTTTTTACCTTTAATTTCTATATTATTTCAATCTGACCCTCAATGGTTTATTTTAAAAAAATAGCTTGAAAAAAATACAAAATATTTATACAAATTCAGAAGCCATGGGAAAGCAGAAAACAACTTCACAGAGCATGGAAGACAAATAATAAGCCACCTAGAGTCAGCTGATTGAAGCATCATAGAAATACTCATGTTCAATGAAATAAATATTTAAATCAGCCTTCATTATTGCCTTTATAGTTTCCTTTGGAAAACCTGAAACTTGGAAACCATGAAGGAGCATAGTGTCATAGTACTCAGTATTAGTACTCAATACATTAGTACATAGTACTCAGTATTGCTGTGTCCAACATCTCTTGGCTATGCTTTTGTATTCTCATTATTTCAGAGTTTAATTTGCATTTTAAGATCTTGTTTCTCTATTTCTGAACTGAATTCATTTGGGTGTACTTGGCGTATACACAGTAATTCATATTTCCTAAGGGATCTTATAGAAATAAAAAAATGCAAACTTGCAATATCTGAAGAGCAGAAATTGTCTTGAAAGAATAACTCAGTTACTAAATTTATGATTTTAAAAAAACCAATAGTAATCAGGCTATGATTTAAAAAACCCATCGATGCAATACCTTTATTAGACCAATTTAAGATTTAGAGTAATTCCAAATGTTATGAATTTCCAAGTTATCTTAATTAGAAAGTTGATAACTGATTATCTCAATTTTAATATATATTAAGGGTCATGTACAATATGAGTGCATGCATGAGAGTTGAGGAATAAAATAAATATCAACTAGGTACAGACTTGTGATATTCCAAATATTGCTGAACTACAGCTCTTAGCATTGCTAGGAAACATGCCATTGTGAGGATTGTCTAACAATTCTGACTTAAAGTTAACCCCAAATTCAACTCCTCCACAAATTTCAACTAAATAAAATAATTGGTAATTATATAAGGGGGAATGCAAAGCAGTAAGAAAATATGCAAGGATAATTCCTAGTGCTATTTTATGGTTGACAGTGAGGATGAGTTACACTTGGGCCGATAGAAGACATAGTACCAGGACATTAGAATGCATGTTTTTCCATTTATTTCTAATTCATGACTGCTCTGCTTTTACATTCAGTGGAGGCTTAGCTAGTCATTTCAAATGGGGGGGGGGATCCATTAAAATTGGCCTTAGTAGCAAAAAAATTTCCCACATATTCTGCAATAAATAAAAGGGAGAACAACTCATTTAGTTAAATTGTCTTGCTGCCATTTAGCTACTACCCTAAACTGGTAATTACAAATGATTTTTCTGTATTAAATTCTTGAGCGAGCATTAGGAGAAGATTAATGAAAACAAACTAAACATATTCTAATCCTAATGTGTTTTTTTAAATTTAGGATTTAATTTACTTATAATTATAAGGCCCCCTCTCAGCCTAGTCCATTAAAGTATGCCATAATGCTGCAGAGACCCATTTTGGATCTTTTTCCCCAACATTTCTTCCTTTAGAGTTCCAGTTCCCTGTAGCTGATTGATAATAAGGCACTGAAGTCAAGAGCACTATATTCTGAATAAAGGAAACTCTTTCAAGGTCAGACTCAGGTTGAGCTGCACAGGGTCTTCCCAAAGAGGCCACTGGAACCCCTTTGTTCCTCTCTGCTTTGGCCATGTTCATCTCAATGTACATTTGAAAGAAACAATTAACAATAGGGCACTCCACTTGGAGTGTCTGGTGCACTTTGAAGCATCCACTGAGGAAAGCCATAAGAATGATACATCATTTTAACTGTGAGACTGTCAAAGTCATACAGCAGTTGAAAAAATGTCTCCACATGCCTTCCCAGCATGCAGACAGGGACCAGCTGTAGAGTCATTTCATATCTGACATGTCATTCCTCTAAAAACTGCCCCCTGGGCATTTTGGTATGCAAAGATTGGAAAATGAAATATATATATAGATCTATACTAGTCTCCCTTTATTTCTTTATCAGCGAAATATAATATATATATATATATATATATATATATATATATATATATATATATATATATGATATATATCTATATCTATATATCTAATCTATACTATCTATCTATCTATCTATCTATCTATTACAGGACTAAACTCATTTAGCATTTTTAAAAGTGGCATTTTTCATTTCTTTCAATCATTCATTTACATCAAAAGAATAAGTTCTGGACTTTAATATTAATGAATAACTTTTAAAATAATTAAATTATTCATTACGTTTAGCAATCTGCAAGAAATAGATTCATATATTTACCTTATATTAAAAATCATAGTTTTGTGTGTACATATATGTGTGTGTCAGGGGTGGGTTCTACTTACCTTTACTCCGGTTCGCAATGGGAGTGCAACAGAAAGCATGAGCAGATCATCCATGATGACATCTGGGCAGGTGGGCAGAGCCTCCCGCCGCTTTTACTACCGGTTCGCAAGAACTGGACAGAACCAGGAGCAACCCACCACTGGTGTGTGTGTGTATAATATGTATATTTATGCTGTATTAAAAATAAAAAACCCTCAGTATTAATTACCATTTAGAATGTCAATATTTTCACCAGAAGTTAAATATAACATTAAAAAACTATTATAACTTATATCACAATATTGTTTAATCATAATTTCAATCTAATCACTTAATAATAAAATCTGTTACTTTATTTACTTTTCACTTTATTATTTTTACAAATAATTGGAGTGGGAGAGTGTGACTGGCTCAAAGCATGGAGCTAGTTTTTCATGCCTAAAATAGGACTAGAACTCAAAGTCTCCTGATTTCTTATCTGGTGCCTTAATCACTAGACCAAACTGGCTCATCATATATATATATATATATATGATAAGTAGAATCCACCCCTGATTCAGTTCTGTCACAGGTCTCTTGCCATTTTGAGACAGTCACATAGCTAATTTTTATAAAAAGCAAACTGAAGATCAGTTGTAGGTGATGCACTACATTTTCTAAAAAGCCAATAGAAAATCAAATTGGAAAGAATTATCTAGTAGCAGAAGGCACAAGAGCAAGATCTTGTCTTCAAATGATACATGTTCATCTTCCTCCATTTATGGAAACTGGCAAAGCCCGAGTCTGTTATTTTATTACAGTATTTAACCCTTTGAAAATTCTTTACTTAACCTATTTTATTTGAATACTTTCCTCAAGGCTATTTACTTCTTTCCATTTTTTAAATTTTAAATTTAATTATTTTTTTTTTTGTTATAGTCAAAGACCATCCCTCGGCCAAGAAACAGAGATGAGCACCGAACCCTAGAGTCAGACACGACTGACAGGGAAACATTTTCCCTTTTTACCTTTAGCTAGAGACTAAGGAAAAATCTATTTAAGAATCTTTATTTTAAATTCCTGTTCTGCAAAAGTTGGAAAACTGACTTTTCTCCAATTATCCCTGATCAATCAGAAAATAAAGTACTTAATGTTCTTTTCCAGTTATTCTGAATTACTGTTGTTTTAACAGTTATTTACTACTATTGTTGTTTTTCAGTTCTTGCTATTCTTATTCAGACAAAAGTCATTCATGCTTAGTCCTGACTACTGCAATGGATTCTACATGCAGCTGATCTTGACACACAAGCTTCAGCTGATTTTGAATGAGATGGCACAAGCAGTATGGGTAATGCTTCAGTATGCCCATGTAACATTTCTGCTTTCTGGGCTACACTGGTTACATGGTCGCCTGTTTGCTTCCATGTTCAATTCAAGGTGCTGGTTATTACCTGTAAAGCTCTACACGGCTTAGGGCCAGATTGCTTGAGGTCTGTCTCTCATAATATCTGCCTGGCCAATTTGATCTTGCAGGGTTGACATGCTTCAGGTTCCTTCAGTTAAACAATGTCAGAGAAGACACCTTTTCTGTAGAAGTACCTGTTGTCTGGAACAGGTTTCCCTGAGATCTGAATGATTCTAATTCTGCTGTTGTTTTGAAGAGTCATGAAGATGAGGAAAGAGTGAGATCCCCCATTTCATCATGTTTGCCATCTTTTATATATAACTTTTGATTTGATTTTTATTTTTTTTATTGTTGTTTCCCAGAGTTGAGAGTTGGACGACATACAAATTTAAATAATAATAATAATAATAATAATAATAATAATAATAATAATAATAAAAAAAAATGGGTGTGGTAAAAGAAAGCAAAAATAGTACTTATAGTAATAGGCACTTTGGGTTCAATTCCAAAACATCTGGAGCACCACTTGAACTCTGTAGGCATTGTCAAGATCACCATCAATCAATTGCAAAAGGCAGCTTTACTTTGAACAGTTTACATCCTGTGATGACACCTTTAATGTTAAACAATATCTATTTATTCCAGGTCCTTGGGAAGGACTCAATAGGTGGACAAAAATGCCAAATCCAGTCTAAACATTTGGCTGGGTGACAACCATAATAAATCATTTTAGTGTTATTTTCTAAATATACCAGTACTCACCTCATGGCTCATTGATGTCACTAGCAATCAAACTTCTTTTGAGTCCAGGGTCACTTATGACCTGGAAATTTTAGATGAGCCTGAAGATCTCTTCAGCAAAGGTTTTAGCCAAATTATAATATAAATGATAAAAAGTGAATATATTAAATATGTGAGAATAAAATAGAATAGAATAGAATAGAACTTAATTGTCACTTTAAATGTACACTAATCAGCATACATTAAAATACATTAAAATAAAATTACATTGCATTCAGCTCTCAAAAGATAATCATTATGCATATACCTACATATACACACATATATTACACAGAAACATCACAATCTAGTTCAAATCTATACATATAGATGGCAGGAAAAAAATCCTACAAATTTACAAGATGGATGGCATAAGGTCAAAGCTGTTACAGAACCTAGTAGCCCCCCAGAGGGGAGCAACAGAAACAGACCATGAAGTGGATGTGTGGGGTCTCTAACAATGTTTCGAGCTCTAAGCACATAGTGTTTATAAATAGTATCCTGAATAATGGGAAGTGAGTTTCCTATGATTTTCTCAGCTGTCCTTACCACTCTCTGTATGGAGAGGCACTGCTACCACTAAACCAAACTGTGATACAGTTTGTTAAAACACTCTCAATTGGCCAGGACAGAAGGAGAAAGATGTGCTCTCCTCATCTGACACAGGAAGTGCAAACGCTGGTTTGCATGCTTCACTAAAGATAATATATGAAGAGACCAAGTCAGATTGTTAGTTATCTGCATCCCCACATACTTAATGCTATTGACCACCTCCACAGCTGCAACCTTGATACAAAGTGGAGTATGACTATGCCAGCTCTTTCTAAAATCAACAATGATCTCCTTTGTTTTATTAACATTCAAAACCAAGTTATTTTTATTTTTAATTTATAACAACTATAAATTTAAACCACTTAAAACTGTGTTTTGACCTTATTTCAGTAGCCAGTATGGTAAACATCCCATTGTTTTTAACTGAATGGTTATCAATTTTGACAGAATTTGGAATCATTGATTTGGGGGATTGGTAGGGATCTTGGAGATCATCTAAGCCAGGGGTGTTAAACTGGTGGCCTGTGGGCCAGATGCGTCACATACAGGCCATGCCCACCCCAGTTCCATGAATGGGAAAACCGTGAAATTCCACGTGACAGCAATGTGATGCGGTGAGTTTGATACCTGTGATCTAAGCCAATTATCTGCAAGAATACATTATATATAAAACTAAAAATGTAAGAGTTGGAAGGAATTATCTCTACTTCCAGGCTGTTTGTCTCACTACTAACAAAGCTGCAAATCTCCTCTATTACATGGTGCTTCCTGCCTTACAGGCTTCCTTTTCTCTAATGGCAACTGTTTTGATGTAGTCTGCATTGGCTGTTATTGGTATAACCTGCAGTAGTAAAACCCATTCTTTAACTATTCATTTTTGCTTCTGAATTCCCCCACTACTTTGGATTTTTTACTCTTTCTCTCTTATATAACCTCTTTCTCTCTTAATCTCTCACATAGAGACACAGAGATGAACACACACACATGAACATACACAGTTTACATTATAACTTTGGGTATGTAATCTGCATTGAAATCCTATGATGTTTTCCTACCATTATGATACCATGTTTCCCCAAGAATTCTGGAAATAGTAATTTCGTGTGGATTCTTTTATTTTCTCTAGTCTTAGAGTTTTCAAAGAGCTCCATTCTATGGAACAGAATGCCATTAAACCTAGTTCTGAAGCTGGGATTGATATGCCAGAAAAGCAGCATGTAAAATATAAGAAAACAAATATAACATCTCCAGCCACCAGGAGGAGCTTTTTCCTTTATTTTTATTTTTTCAGCACCATCTTGTAAGGATATAGAAAATATTTGAAGATTCCAAAATTATGCTTAATTCTAAATCCATGGATAATAAAGAAACCTAATTTACATTCACTTCAAATTCAAAGGAACAATGAATGGAAACTTTTGGAATGAGGTGGGGTATACTTTTCTTAAAATTAGTTTGTCCTTAAATAAAGATATCTTAAGTACAATATAGATGTATTACCCTGTAATTAAAAGGATGCCCATAAATACTTTTCATTGTGTCCTATTTTATAAATATTTACTTGGCTCTAATTGCATCTTATTCATATGGAAAATAGAATGAAAATAATATCTGCTCTATTGATCAGTAAGCTCAATCAATAATGAAATAAAGAAAAACAACAATTTTATGAGAAATAGGGAGGGGATGGCGAAAAAAATTAAATTTCCCCCCTTTTCCCCCTGCAAACTTGCTCAAACCTACTGTACAGTAGATCATTACCCAGTTGACTAATCGTACATAATCTGATTTAGCTGATTTAACAGGACCACCAACTCAAAGAGCAAAGTAGGATTCTACACCAGCACTTTGTTTAGTCAGATTACCAGAGGTTTTTTGTCAATATTTATTATGTTTAGGTTGGGCATGTACTCTGAATCCTAGCATTACAAGACATGCACCTCCTAGTTAAGTGAACTGGAGGCAGACAATAGCATATTAGCTTACAAGGTAGTAACTAGAGATCCAAATTCATACAGAGAAGTGTGAGTATGCTTGGAGAAGGACTCAGATTGTGTTGCACTTGTGGCACCTGTGTAAATTTATCAGTATCATTTTTTACTATTAGCAGAGAATGCTGCATGACATGAATATGATTAAAATTAAGAATCTAGTTTACATGTTAATAAAAAAGTGCAATATGAAAGCTTCACTTTACAATGTTGATAATGGGTCATGGGCTGATCTGGTGAAATCATGGCATATAGAAGATGGTACACTGGATATAAAATGAACAACTGGTAAAAAGCATACATTAATGAAGGAAATCAAAGAAAAGAGATATGGTGCAAGTTTGTGAAAGAATAAAAAGGAAGGATATATTTGAATGAAAGTAGTCTGATTTTATGGAGTAGAATTGATGAGTACAGGCATAGAAACTAAGATATAAATTTAATTATGAATTTAAATGGTACACTGTGTATCATAAAGTATAAATTGAGCTGATATAGCTTATAGTTGATGAATATAAAATTAGAAATTCTGAGGTCAGTGATAGTTATGTTCCAATGAGTGAAAATAATGAAAAAATTGGGCTTTAAAGTATATAATATTCAGAATGAATAGGATCTGGGGATGGGAAATATTCTGTTGGGGAATATGAATGGATGGATGAAAATAAAATGAGACTATAGAAAAGCACATGGAGATGTAAGAATGAATGAGAATAGTGTACCTGCTTAGAAAAAAAAACTGTTTCAAATATATATTAATTAATTGGATTAAATATAAAATTATTTATTTATTTAAATGTATTTTTTTTACTTTTAAAGGTTTCTTTATTTAGATAGTATAATCCAGATTCGGCTTTAGTTCTCCCAAATCTTAAATCTCAATGAGTTAATTATATAAATGTTGCTTCTCTATCAAATTGCTACAGAACACTCCACCCCCATAATTTATACAGTGTGATTTAATGAGTTTACTTTATACAGTAAATTTAATAAATTTTTAAAAAGCAAAGAATTGATTAGCTAGCAAATAACAACTTTTTAAATGTTTACTATTGCAAAATGGCACTCCAAAAGCAGTTTTTAAAATCTTTCATCTTGAGACAATTAAACTCTGTGTAATTCTTCAGAAATCAAAAGATTCAGTATCCAAGTACTTACATGCTGAGGAAAAGAGGATTAATTGCTTTGTTAAAAGTTGGACTTAAGATCTGTTGATGTTGGCAGTTGATTGAAATAGTTGAAATATATCTCAGATTGTTACTGATTGCTCTATGCAATCTCCCTTTTGAATCTGAGGTCACACAACAGGGAGCTAGATTCAAAATGATTCACTCCCACGGTAAAAGTTTCCTCTACCCTATGAGGACTATCAGATACAAACACAAACAGAAATGTAGGATTTTGGATGCAATCCAGTCACAGAATTCCCCCTACCTCATTCAGTTTTCCAAACAAATACAGTATGTATGTACAATGGACAACTAAAATAACAGAAATTTTAAGAAATTTTGTAGTTAAGCAGCTATACACGTTAACTTTGTCTATAGTTTTTCAGATACCTAATGAGTACATAAATTAAGGTGCAAACTAGTTTTAAATGTGTCCCAACCCCTTAATTCTTAATTTGGTGGAGTTATGAAAGTGAAATGGTTGTCGATGAGAATAATTCATTTTTCCTTCTATTTAATCATGTCCAGTTCCTAATCAATACAATAAAAAGGGGCAATACAAATAATTATACTAAAAAAAACTGGGGAAAGGGGACTGAAGATTGTCCATAAGAAGAACTGTTCATCTCTTCTCCCGTGGACATTTTCTTAGCAGTTACTTAGCAATGACACTGGCCCTAAATGTGCTTATTTTTTTTAATTACAGCTTTATATACACCAATAACTCACAGACTATCAAGGATCTTTCTGCATCAGTGTAAGCTCCAAGGCTTTAAAAACCATCTCTTTCTGCAATTGGATCTTTTCAAACAGGGATGTTGAAAATATTCTTGTGGTATGACAATCTTTTCTTAAATGTAGAGGAAGATGTTTAAGTGAACAAAAGACATGTACTAATAAATAGATACTGACAATATCTAATTTAGGTGTTTAATGTATTTTAAAATTGCGTTCACCTCTTAAACAAAGTGTATAAGAGCTCTCATATCCTGTTGTGCCTTTCCACTGATTAAAAAAGTCAAAATGGAAAAGGCTGAAATAATTCCTCTATTGCCACCTCCTGGCCACCTGGTTAGCTGCTACAAGATCACACAGACTGACTACAAGCAACGGCATGACAAAGTAGCAACAATGGTGCATTGAAGATCTGCAAGAAATATCATTTGCCTGCAAGCAAGAACTGGTGGAACTATAAAATAGGGAAAGTCATAGAAAATGAAGGAACTAAATTGCTCTGAGATTTTAGAATTCAAACAGATAAGCACCGGCCACATAACACCCCAGACTTAACAACTGTCGATGAGAAAGACAAAAGAAGTCTGGCTAGTGGACATGGCAGAACCTAGAGACAGCAGAATAGAAGAGAAAGAACTAGAGAAAATAACAAAATACAAAGATCTGCAAACAGGAATAGAACGACTGTGGCAAAAGCAAGCAAAGGTAGTACCAATAGAAATAGACAGCCTGGAGCACCACTTGAACACCATCAGCATTGACAGTTCACCATTAGTCAATTGCAAAAGGCAGCTTTACTTAGAACAGTTTACATCCTGCCATGACACCTATAACACCATCAAATATTCACATCTGCCTATGCTTGGAAAGGACTTGATAGATAGACAAAAATACCAAATCCAGTCTGAACATCTAGCTGACTGTGTGATGAACAATAATACTTTTCCAGAGTTTACAAGACAGTTGAAAAAATGCTATTCTGATTATCAGACTATTTGTTTACTAATTTCAGCTTGATTATTATTTTATAAATGAAGTACATTTGCGCAATCATTTCTTCCCAGGTTTGTACAGGAAATATAGTAATCATATTGTGTCATTTATATGAAGAAATAAAACATGATTTTGCTGCACATGTTTATGTTAAATATAGTGAACTCCGTCCTTTTAGCGACTTTCTTTGATTTCTGATTTATTTTAGCTCAGTCTGTCTGCTGCAAAAGGGAACATTGGTTTAGATTAGCAAGATTCCACTCAAATCTTTAAAGTCATATCTATTTATACCAGTTTATAGTTTATGCCTGCTAAATATAGTAACTGGGTATGATTTTAGTCTGTGTGATTATCCTGTTTGGTGCACTTGTGAAGCTTGCTCATTTCATAAAACTTTTAAGTGTTCAGCTGAAGGAATATGGACAAGTAATGTCATTCAGCCCTAAGCCTATTCAACACAAAACTTACCTAGCTATGACATCTTTCATCTTACAGAAAACTGCCATACAGTTTCATTATCTTTGTCCATGCAGCTTGACATTATTTATTCTCCCAGTGACAAACAGATTGGATCCTGCAACATTATCCTGGGACACTTATATTTGTCTTGATTCATAAATTAAGGCTGCACAAAATATAGAAACCCAACCATACCCTGAACTATAAAAAATGGAATAAATCATCTGGCAAAACAGGGGTGAGAAACCTCCAGCCATTATATTGCATGTCACAATGGAGTCACTGTGTGTGAGTTGGGCAACTATATCGACTTGTTTAATAAATAAATGAATACATATGTCCTTGGCCTAATTATAATAGTTATCAGTTCACTCTTGTAGGCAGAATCATGTATTGTTGGATAGGGTGGGGAAAAGAGAGAGGGAGAGGGAGGGAGAGGGGGAGAGAGAGAGGCTTTATTCGTATCTATAACCAGCGTGTTACAAAGGTTCCTAGCACATTGGGTCCCCAAAAGGAAGACAATTTAAAAACATGTCCACCTGGAAAAAAAACTGCAAGGCCTGTTAGCATGAGTTAAGCATTAAAATACTGTTAAACATGAAAGTGTTGTGTATGCACATGCGCATGCATACAACCAAGCACTGTTTTTGAAGTAGTAGGCAACAATGTACATCTTCCAAAAAGCACATTGTTGTTTTAATGCTTCAAGAAGAGCGCTTCACTTGCGCCACATGTGAAACACGTACTTCATGTGCCGTGAAAAGACCTATTAATTTCCAAATTCTATATGAAGAAGGCGTGCTGTCCGAGAATATAAGATGAAAAGTATTGTTTTCTAATAAGAAACCCTGCATAAGTAATTGTAGCAGATTCTCTAAAGATTTCTACAAGCCTCCTCTTTATGTGTTATTACAGATAAAGATTGCTGAATCAGCCACTTCCATGGCTTTATAAGTGTTATATTGCAGTTCTTGTAATTCCCAATTAGCACAAGCACAGCCTAGGGCCGTGATGGTGAACCTATGGCACGGGTGCCAGTGGTGGCACGCGGAGCCATATTGATGGGCACGTGAGTGTTGCCCTAGCTCAGCTCCGGCGCGCATGTGCTCACCGGCCAACTGACTTTCAGGCCTTCCGGTCCCACCGGAAGTCGGGAAACTGGCTATTTCCGGCCTCCGGGGGGATGGGGAAGGCTCTTTTTGCCCTCCCCAGGCTCCTAGAAAGCCTCTGGAGCCTGGGGAGGTGGAATAACGGGCCTACTGGGCTCACCGTGCCATCATGTGCCAAAAGCAGGGGGAAGTGTGGGGGGATCACGTGCGCATGCGCAGGAGGGCGGGGCGCATTGAATTATGGATGTGGGCACCCGTGACCCCCCCACGCTCCCCACGCTTTTGGCACGTGACTACAAAAAGGTTAGCCATCACTGGCCTAGGGGCTCCAAGCAGTGACTGCTAAGTAAGGTTGTTTATTGTTTATATAATCTCAGCTTGGACATTTCTCTAAGGTCCCTTTCAACTTCTGTTCATTGTTCCCCATATAGCAGCATATAGCATTACAATATTTTACAGTTTGTGGAATCATTTATAAGAAGTGAAAATAGGAACCTCCACTCATTTGTTTATGCTATTAATGGAATTAGCTGAATGGAAGATGGGCCCAAACAAAATCTATTTGCTAAGGGGGAGAAACAAGCTAGAAGCAAAGAGAGGCCATGAATGAATATATCTTGCTAATGGTTGGCTAATTAATATAAATTATGTTAAGCTTCTCTATTAAATGAGCAGACTTGGAGTATTAGTTACATTTCATTTCTTAAAAACAAATCCATTTTTCAGTTAGATCTTAATCTGCAGAGCCTTTGCTAGCCTGAATAGAAGTAATGAGGGAAGAGACAATGGCCAATTAGTACCAGCTCAATCTGCTGTTCATGTGCTAATTGTTGATGGGCAACTTCAGCAGCAACTTAGAAATGAAAAAAATGCACTTTATAGAAAATAATGTGATTATTCGAAACTTAGAACAAACTATTTTCGATCTAAGTAACACATGGAGAATTCAGAAATGAGCCTCCAAACGTAGGGCTGAAAGGGGAAAAGGCCATACTTACTAGACCTGGCATTGACAGCATCCTAATACTGCATACCATGTCTTGCATCCACAAAATGTAAGTACAGTACAGACATTCCTCACAATCTGGACTTTTGACTGTCCGGTGCTGTCATCGTGCGACATACGATGTAGAGACCAGGAAGAATGACCTCCTTGGTTTCCATTCATTTATTTATCCATGAAAGAGAACTTTTGAAAAAAGTTATAATTTTTGCTCAGTTCTTCCTGGCTAGGTCATCAATCAGAGAACTGGCTGAAATCTGTAGTTAAACAATGTGATAGAATCCTAATTAACATGGACAATTCAAATTCACATTGCATTTTCAAAAGTTTTGATGCATTTTAAAAAAAAACTACTAAGTGAAAACTAGTATATCAAGAAGGTTATATAGAGTTTACTTCTTAGTCTGCTAACTTTTTACTTGAAGAGACTTTTTAAGGAAACATTCAGAGATATGGTATCTCACCCTTGGTTCCAAATAGTATCTTTCCAAATATTCAGCCTCCTCCAATAGAAGAAGTGAATATGTAAGGTTAGAATATGTATTTTAGGATTGAATTGTGGAATCCTTGGTGCTTTCTGAGCTTGGTTGTTTGCTTATAGATATTTCAGTACCCAATTGACTAACACCAACAGTACCAACCTCATCTAGCCTATCCGCCCTACTTACTGTCCTATCTCATTTTGCAGCATCCAGATCGTGATGCATTGGCAAGTTTATTCATGATGTTGAATCTATCTTATTTTCTAATTAAGGCTTTTGCAGATTCCTTGAGCTTCATAATTAGAGCCTATATGGAGAGCAGGGGAAAGCAGGGAATTCATGCATCATATCAAAAGTGGTTGCCTGTTTTTTTTTATTGGACAATAAATTGTTCTAAGGCTGTTCATCCATTTCTGGTAGCATTGCTATGGTCACAAAGACTAATTGAATTCAGTTGTGCTGAGTAAGTAAGAGTCAGGCAAAAGTAAGCTGCTGTGAGGCACTTTTGACTTTGACAACACATACATTTGCAGATTTAATACAAATGAGGAAACTTAAGAGACTCAGAGAAAAAAAATACTTTGTGCCATTAAGGGTTGTCAAGTCTTTAATGTGCAAATAGGAATATCCTAGACCCATGATGGTGAACCTATGGCATGTGTGCCACAGGTTGCACGCGGAGCCCTATCTGTGGGCACGCGAGTGTTGCCCTAGCTCAGTTCCAGCACGCATGCACGTACTGACCAGCTGATTTTTGGGCCCTCTGGACCCACTGGAAGTCGGTAAACGGGCTGTTTCCGGCCTCCAGAGGGCCTCTGGGGGTGGGGAAGACCGTTTTCGACCTCCCCAGGCTCCAAGAAAGCCACTGGAGCCTGGGGAGGGCGAAAAATGGGCCTACAGGCCCACCATGCCATCACATGCCAAAATCAGAAGGAGCACGGGGGGTGGTGGCGTTGGGGGGAGGTGGGACACATTGAATTATGGGTGTGGGCATGCACGACCCCCCCCGTGCTCCTCCCACTTTTGGCATGTGACGGCAAAAAAGTTAGCCATCACTGTCCTAGACATTCTTTAAAGTTTTGCAATGACATATTGAAACTAGATAATTGTAAGCATCTGACTCTTGAGTTTAAATTTAAA